TTACAATATTTTTTTTTTTTAAATGGGGTCTTGGTGGTGACAACTTCAGCAGCAGGGTGACTTCTCCCTCCCTGCCAGCATTATCTTCCTGGGGCTATAAAACCCTGGGAGGCTGCTCCGCCATGGCGTTGACAGGGACATCTTGTTTGTTGTTAGAAATAAGAGCCAGTGTCTCCAGGACACACCTTCCTCGGTCGCCTTGAATGGGAGGTGTCCTCCCAGCAGCCACATGCCTACCAGCAGCCGGGCTGCGAGGCGTCCCTCTGGGTGTGCTCTGAGCAGAGGCCATCCGAGCTCACTGGGTGTGCGGTCTGGGGCATATCAGGTGAGTGTGGGTCAGCGTACATGCATCGTCCTTACACTCTGTTCTTTTTCATAAATTGCCACTTGGCTGGGGCATTAAGGCGTTGAGGTCACTGGCTTTTGCCAAGAAATTCACCTTGAAAGCCACAGATATGGGGGTGAACACTGAGTGTGTGTGTGCAGGCCAGAGCCCCCCGTTTCTGCAGGAGCCACAGCCCCTCTGCTCCCATGTGTCAGGCTGAATGTGACAAGTGGAAGCAGGAAGGATTTTCTTCCTGCCTTTGATGACGACTGTGTTAGCGAGGCTGTGAGTTAGTGAGGCTTCTTGACATTCAGGCGTCCCTCCAGACAGTGAGCTCTGAAGAGTCGCGCTACAGTTGTGTCTAAAGGCGTCTGTAAAAGTTTCTCAAGCCATTCATTATTTAGCTAATTCTGGCCACATGCTTCCACGCTGCCCTAAAAATAGGAACCCCCCCCTCCCCCAATCTAGTCAGCGCTGGTGAATGTGCTTGGAAAGAAGCCGCAGGCCGGGAAGCTGCATTGAATGGTTTAGTGGGAAAGGTTATGTTTCTGGCATAGTCTTAGGACTGTGCTATGTATGTTGCTTTGGACCAAGATGGAGGCATGCTCTGGCCCTCCTCTTTCTGTACCTTGTGTTCTGATCGTCTTGAGAAATTTTCAGTGTAATTTCCTTAGACAGCACTGCTTAACAATATCTAGGATAAGACCCCAGGCAATTGGTTTGCATTGAGTGGCTTTTAAATTTTTGCAGGTAGTGCTCAACAGGTAATTAGTTTTAGATCACAACCCCTATTCATATAGAGATGTTATAGAACCCCTACTCATATAGACATGTCACTAAAAACGGTTTCCTAAAGCAGCGTTTTAAGTCCATTGGACGTACTAGTAGTCTCTGTTTTGATATATTTCATTTTAAAAAGTTTATGAATTTCTAGTAGGTTACAGTTCACAACTTAGCAAACACCACGTTAGAATTCGGCTCCAGAATGAGAAGTGTGACACTTTGCCTTCTGACAACTGCCTGATTTTTGCTTTTGCTTTAATGCACCACTTCTGCTGGTGCAGGACGCCATCTTTACCTGCAGGCACACCTCGCTGCCTTCCAGTGCCTCCCTCCCACACAGCCCTCCTGCTCTCCCTTCTTGGGCCACTGTGAAGTCACCTCCAAGCCTGCCTCAGCAGTCTCTGTGGCGGGCAGAGCGGACCGGAGCAGCCCGCCAGTACAGCCCTCACCCAAGCTCAGACATCTGTGCTGTCTCTTAAGCGCATGTTTTCTTTGAGAAATCAAGTCACATTTATTCTGGAAGGACAGGGCAGCCTGGTGTCTGTGCCTATGTGGGCCACCCTGCCCGGATCTCACAGGGGACCTTGGGAGCTACCTCGGGGTCTCCGTATGTTTTCACTGGAGCTGCCATGATTGACAGTCCAAGGCTTCCTGGCGCACACTTAATGGCAGCGTCCCACTCCGTGATCACGACACACAGCTGTGCCCTTCTTCCTGTTGAAAACATAACAGTTATTCGCAAAAGGGAGCGGGTTGGCCCTGAGCAGAGTTAATCACCATTTAGAGAGCGAGCTCAAGAGTGACAGGGTTGGACAGTTCACTTCACTTTTTCGATAATGGAGTAGAGATTCCCGTTTTACTTGCAAAGATACATTTCAAGGGCTTTGTGTTGCATTGTAATTACATTGAAGAAAAGTCTGCTGGTCCGTAAGAAGAAAAATTTATAATGTTGCTACTAGCTGCTGATTTTCAGCCTCCAAGATACCATTACAAAGTAATTGCAGTTGAAATTGGCCAGTTTATTTACCACTTCAAAATAAGTACAAGAAATGTCAGTATTTACTGTTTGAGTTGAAACTGATTTGCTGTTGTAGGTTCTTATTACAGTTAACATGAGATTTGTTGGAAGTAATTTTTTTCTCGGAAATGATTTAAAAATGCACTTTTTTTTTTTTTTACTGTGTCAGTGTAAGATGCCCTGTGCTCACGATGCCTCAGGATGTTGTGTTAGGGCCTCTAAAGTCTCTCTGGAACCCCACCATACACCACACACCCCCATCTTGTCACCTCAGCATGTGGCCACTGTAGGTCTCTGGGGCCTTAGTAGATGCTTCTTTGGCACTAGAGACATGTTTTACAGTCTGTGTCGTATCATTAACCTAAATACTTTACGTTGCCTGAAATGTCATAATTTTGGCAACAGTGACATTCTTTGAAACCTAAATCTCAACCAACTCCATGTCCCTTTGAAAAATCAATTTGAGCCTATTTAACCCAAAAATAAGAACCTTGTGCTGACTTTCATGAGGAGGTGGCTGCTTCTCTGGCTGTTTTAGAAATTGGGTTTTACGTGTCATGAGAGAACCTGATATGGTACCAGTGGTGGCCTGGCTCGACCGTGAGGCTCTTAGGGATTCTATAAATTGTTTCCTTTGAGGAAAGGAGCAGGGTTGGAACGGGAGGTAGTGTTAAAGATAACATAGCAAATGGACATTTCAGCAGAACTCCCTCACCCCCACAGAGTCTCATAAAACCGTGCTATCATTAGACTACCTCTCATCCACACTGGCGAGAGCCAACATCCCACTGAGAAGCCTGGAGCCGCCAGTCACTGAGAGGGTGTTAGCCGAGAGCTTGCAGTTGGGACCAGCCCTCCCATATCGGGAGCTTGGGCCTTGCTGTTCCTGGGCCCCCCATCTGCAGTAATAACAGAGCCCATCCATCAGTGGCCAGAGACCACAGGGCCTTCCACACTGCCGGTAGCCCCACGTGGCAGGCTTCTGTCTGAGGCTGTCCAGCAGTTGAACTCACTTGATGGATTTAAAGCTCCCTAGCAAAACAACTCCCTGGCAAGACAACACAGGCAGATGAGCATTTAGTGACTTTTGTTAGAATGCATTTAATGAATGACTGATCGTAACACCTCAAATCCATATCCTCTGCCTTTGGGACATCAGCACTGGTGGGAGGAGAGGACAGCAGCACAACTTGCCTGTCACCATGGATGGACACAGCCTTGATGGTCAGTCTTGGTCTGTTTCTGGGTTTTGATGCATAGTTGACTGATTTTTCCACAAGCCTGGTAAGTGGAAGTAAGTTGGCCTCACTGAGCAAAGGCGTGCTTGCTCACTCTTTGAACAGCAAAGGTGTCTGATTTTCCAGGGGCATCTGCTGACTACATCTTTGCTGGACACAGCATTTTGGGGCACGTTCTGTGATCTTTCACTGGCTAGGTTTATCATGTTACATTGTGATAGCTATAGATAACAAAATAAAAGAAAGGAGAATTTCTCATCAGGGCTCCTTGGGTCTAGTGCTTCCACCACACCAGCCGGTCAGTGGTCACTTTGATTTTTCTCTTCCCGCCATGCATCGTGCAGAGACAGGCAGTTCTGTGGCTAATCCAATACGTCTGTTCCCTGAAAGGAAATCTAAGTCTGGAGGACATTGTTTCAATAAATCTCATTTCTATTTACCTGTTGCTGCTTTTTTTTTTTTTTAATATGTGCCCTGCTCAAGGATACAAAGAATATTTTTTCAAAGATTTATTTATTTATTTCTGCATACAGAACTGGGGTGCAGGCCAGAGGTGCAGGGGTCGTGAGAGGCTTCAGCAGAGACAGTGGGAAGCAGAAAAGCAGATTGACAAAGTCCACTGCTGAGGGGAGCAGTCAGGAGGGGGCGGGTCAGGAGAGGTCTGCTGTGCCCTGTGGGTCACCTCTGGGGCCGAGGATCAAACTCGCACTGTGGTGGCTGCGGCCAGCTTGCAGTGCTGTGCCCTTACCCGTTGCACCATCAGAGAGGGCTATTGCTGCTTTTTTTTTTTTTTAAGTGTTAGAGTTTTCCGCTTATCTTTACAAAATAGTTTGTATCACTTCAGAAGTTTCATGGTAAACGAGCCAAAAGTGGTGAGTCTGGGACTGGACCTTTCGAGGTCTGGGTTTGCCTTTGGGCACTCTGAGGGCGGTAGAAGCCACTACATGCTTTCTCATCAGGCCACAGAAGCTGTCATACCTAGTTTATACCCCTGCGCACTCAAGGTCGGAACTCTGATACAAGCACTCCAACACCACGGCACAGAGTAAACGTGACCTCTCACGTGCCCTGTGGCCACTGACCCTTGAACCTGCCCTGTGACTTCCCAGGGGACTCACAGGGCCCGAGAGGGGACTCAGCTCTTCCTAGTGTCTACTTCTGAGTCTCTTAAAGGCAGGCGATGCAGGCTCTGGTCCCCAGGTCGCTGGCTGTGCCTTGTCTGGGCCCTGCCTTTGACCCCACAGCAGCCAGTGTGAGGCCTTGACGTTTGTTCTGCTGGGAAAGCATTGTTTTTTTTTTTTTTTTAAAGATTTATTTATTTATCCATATAGAACTGGGGTACAGGCCAGAGATGCGGAGGGTGAGAGGATTCACCAGAGACAGAGTGGGGAGCAGAGCAGGCAGATCGACGAAGTACACTGCTGAGGGGAGCAGCGGGCGGGTCAGGAGAGGTCTGCCACGCCATGTGGTCTCCTCCGGGGCAGGCGGGAATCGAACTCATGCGGAAGTGGCTTTAGCTTTTCAGTGCAGTGCTTTAACCCGCTGCGCCACCAGGGAGGGCCCGAAAGCATTGTTTTTAAGGATGCTGACAGTGGTGATGCATGGAGACACTGACTCTTGGCTGTCTTCCTAACAGACGCGAGACGACTTCCTGGGCCAGGTCGACGTGCCCCTCAGCCACCTTCCGGTAAGTTCAGCCACGTGTTCACATCATGTGGCTTCTGCTGGTTTGCAGCTGGGTGAATTTTCGGTGCATTTCCTCAGCAGGACGGGGAGGCTGAAATGAAGAGCATGCAGCACAAGCTGCTTTCTACAAGTGGTGCTTTCTAGGGGCAAGGAGGCACTGCATTGACTCAGCTGCACCTAAGTTTTACGTCCACATATTTCTGTCAGCACCACCCGCTTCTCTCTCTCCTGCTCTGTCGCTGGTCTTTCTTCTGTCACTGTTGTGTCTTTGCTTTGCAGTCCACCCTTTGGGGTTGAGCAAACGTGTGCTTCCTCTTTCTGGGATTGCACCGGCTCTTTCTCTTGTTCTGGGATCCCAGGTCTGGGTGAATGGCTTCCTCGTCAGCACAGAAACAAAAGGGAAGATGTGGTTCTGAGGGACGTCGTCAGCTAGTACACCCACTCTGGCTTCAGAAATGGCGTGGAATTAGCTCGTGCCTGGTGGGGATCATGACGTCCAGGCAGCTGACTCGTCACTGAGGGCAGCTGAGTCACCTCAAGTGCTCTGCACGGCGATGCAGGCAGAACACAGGGAGTGGACCAGGAGGCTTCGGAGGGAGGCACTGCATGGTGTGGTCAGCTCTGGCCTTCCAGATTGTTCTCCCCACCTCCCCTTTCCTTTCCTGAGCCACACAAAGTGACTTAAGTAGCAGCTCAGAGAGGATAAGTCAAATGTTTCTGCTTTTGAGGGTGCTTTATCTTTAGAATGCTTTGCATTTCAAAAAATAGTATAATCTATAAACTAAAATGATTTAAACTTCCTCTAAGCCCATTGCTGTTTAGAAATTGTGGGCATTGCCATATGCTTAAATATCAGGAAAGACCGTGTCTTTCCCAGGAAGCTTTGAAGATATGTTGTGAAAGAATATGATAGCAAGAAATTTCTCTTTTGTACTCAGGGGAGCTATGAAAGGAGACAGGTTTCAAATGCATTCATTTCCAAAAGATTAGAAGCAAAAGGGAGAGTGTTAAAGTATTTTTGCTTGTTTCAATATGAAAACCTGAAGCTCGAGTTCTTGGTGGGAGTGGGTGTGTGTGGGCAGAGAGCCAAAGCCAGGAGCCTCCAGAAGTCATATTGAGAAGATTTGAAGTCCTAATGAGAAGATTTGCCTTAGTATTTGTTAGGAAAAGCTCTCCATGCTCTTCTACCTCAGTAGGCTTTCTCATTATGTTATTGGTTGACCAGTTCTTCTGTGGGTGTCATTAGTCACCCTTTTCCCTCCTAGAAAATCCACAATTCAGGGCCCTCCCTGGTGGCACAACAGGCTAAGCGCAGCACTATCAAGCTAGCCGCAGCCACTTTAGCACAGGTTCAATCCCCCGCCCTGGAGGTGACCCACGTGGCACGGCAGACCTCTCCTGTCCTGCCCGCTGCTCCCCTCAGCAGTGGACTTCGTTGATCTAGCTGTTCTGCTCCCCTCTCTGTCTCGTAAATCCTCTCACTGCCCCTGCACCTCTGGCCTGTGCCCCAGTTCTGTATGCATAAATACATAATTTGTTAAAAAGAAAAAGAAAATCCACAACTCAATTATGGCAAATGTGCTGATCCTCTAAGAGGTAAAGGTGAAATTTTTAAGCAACTTGCCCCTACAGCCCCTTCTCTGAGTGACTGCGAGGTGGGGCAGGACTCCTGGAGAAAAGAATGTTTCTTTGCAGAGACAGCCTGGCAGAGGGAATCACTCAGCTTTGCATTCAGAGGGAGACAAGAGTGAGCTTTCAAAGAAGGAAGGGGTGCCAAGACTCAGAGCTAGAATAGAAACCAGCCGATTAAAGAATAGGACAGAAAGCCTGGAGAGGGCTGGATATATCTGTGTGAGCTAAGCCACTTGGGTAATCGAGCCTGCCAATTCTGTATCTGCCCCAAGATAGCTTACAGTGGAGTGCCATCGAGGCCATATTTTAAATTGACTAGCTTTGTGAAACCATGTGTAATCAGGGAGAGAGGCCACATAGGAAGCAAAAGGAAGAAGGAAAAGCGTGAAGATCAGTCATTATTCTCCAAGCAATGCTAGAATCTACTAGCCTATTCCAAATGGGCATGGCCATCGGGCCTGCAAAGTGGCCCACGTATATCTAACCAGCAAGTAGAACAGTTCTAGGAAAACTGCAGAGTCAAGGTCATGTGTGGATATGTAAAATGAATGTTATTTGAATAATATCTTGTGTTGCAAATGATGGGTGTTCTTTTTCTGAGAGCCATGTGGCCCTTCTCAAGGCAAATTATACATGACCTATAGAGTCAATATTTGTCAAATCCCCAAATTTTCGATAGAGGAAAATTGTCTCCTCAGTAATGAGGGGAAATAATGAAAAGTGGTAATGTGGTAGGGGTTAAGTTACCACCCCCCCACCCCCCCACCCCCAGCCTTCTCAAGGTCTTAGGAATCTAGTTGGGAGTTGCATTATTAATTAATTCCATACAGCTCCTCTTGCTGATAGAGAATTTATTTTTGCATAGACATTTGCTGTAAGACATGATTCTGATCTCTGAGGCATCAGTAGAGGCAGTTCCTCCTTCATGCAGCTGGACAGTGCTGTCCAGTCCAGCAGCCACATGTGGTGGTTGAGTATTTGAAGTCTGACTAATGTGGCTCAGGAGCAGAACCTGTCATTGCAGCCCTTGGATATTACCTTTGCAGAACTAGAGAGAAACAGCCTCAGGTAGGGGAAGGCACTGAATGGCAAGTCGCCCTACAGCAGTGGCCTCTTCTCCACTTCCAAGACTCCCAGTGGATGCCCAGACTGTATATAGTCTAATAAAGACCCAAGATTAAGACACAAAAATGTATATTCACAAAGTCTGCAGCGGTTCACTCCAACGAGCGTTCTTGACTCAGTGATCTCGAAGACGGGGGAGCTGCTTTGCTACCTTGAACAAGTCAAGTCCTTTCTGGGTCCCTGTTTCCCCACCTGTCAAATCAGGGCATTTGCATAGATGTCACTACGTGACCATCCAGCTCTGTGATCAGCATTGTCGCTGTTCCATGACGTGTCTAGGCAGAGGCACCTTGATGCCACGCTGTGTTACCTGGGAGACGTGGGCAGTGGCACCTGCCTGGAGGCAGGTGGACAAGATGAGGGCTGATTTAGGAAGGTGGTTGTTACCCTACCAGCCTGAAGTCTGTACAGCAGCTAAAACATAGCTCTCCAGTTTTATTCTTGTATGTTGGGCGCCAAGGGTAAATTTAACTATAGCTGGATTATAACTGTTGATTTTTTTGTAAAATTCATTATAAATTTGGTTCTTTTTGTTAAAGGCAGTCAATCCTTGCCTGAAAGTATTTTATGGCTTGTCTCTACTAATTCTCTAGAGACAAAAATAATCCCCAGTCTTGTGTTAGCTACAGCATGACATTTCTGGCAGGTGTTGGCCTATTATGCCCCTTAGATTTTTCTTGTCTCTTTTGCCAGTTGCTCTCCCAGCACACACCCATCCCTGCCCAGCTACGTGATCTCTGCGTCCCTGGGAAATGCTCTCTGCAGAGAGTTGTTTAAAAAACACAGATGTCTCCTGTTAGAGACAAGTGCTTGCCAAAGCCACCAAGGGTGACTTTAGCGTTTTTGCTGACCTCCAGGAAGACCTTGCCGAGCGGCATGGTGTTTGGGGCTGTGGTTGTGCTGGTAGGTGACACAGGTGACGAGCCCCACTTTGATACTGATGACTGAGAGTCGGAAGCCTCCCCTTCCTCTGGTTCAGACGCAGAGGGGTGCCAGAGACCATTTGTCATTCCCCGCATATTGCAGGTGAGGACTTCCAGAGCCAAAGATTGGCAAGTCGGGGGCAGTGCTGGGCCAGGCCTGAGGTCTCCAGCACTGATCTGTTATGTGGTCAAGTTTCTTGGGGCGCAGGGGGTGGCAACACTCAGCCTGCAGCTTTGGCTGGTGGCCTCCAGGTGTGGGGGCTGGAGTTCTGATGAGGCTAGCCACCTCTGTTTGTCTTAAAGCTACTTCTCTGCGTGCCACAGTAGCTGTAGCTGTACTGAATGCACGTTCTCTGTTTAAGATAAAACAAGCATTGGCTGTCCTTAGGATTTTATTCTGGAGTCTCAGGCCTGGGACAGGAGGCAGCAGCATCATTCGGGCCAATAATGTGAGCATCAGTCTGTCAGAGAAACTTTCCTCCAGGAGCTCCTAGCACTATCCTGGGCATCACGCCTGGGCTTTTGTCCACAGATTCTGATCAGGTTAGAATCTAGATATCTCTGAGAAGAAAATCCCATAGTTCTCCACAAGATCTCCACTTTATTCAGCCTAGAGAATTTCTGTGCAGGTGAATTTTCGTTTCTGAGTGTCCTGCCATTTGCGCAGCATTGAGTTGGCAGTATCCAAAATGTCCAGTTGGCTGATAACGATGATGACCAACCAACACTTGTGCCCGGTCTGTTTTTACAGCACTTCAGCTGGTTGGCTTCACCCACCAACACGCTGTGAGTAAGAGGCTCTTCTACTCACTTTATAGACGAGGACCCTGAGGCACAGAGGTGCAGGAAGTTGGCCACGTGACTCTAAGCAGTGAAGGCAGGACGCAGACCCAGGAGCTCTGCCTCTAGATCTGTGTGTTGTCTCACTTCAACTGCATCATGTCTGGACAGTTTTCTGAGCTCTGTGGTTTTCTGTGCTCACCCTCTCGCAGCTTCTCCTGCTCCTACTTCCTGTCGACACACTAGCTTTGCTCGTGTTGTATGATTCCTAAACGTGGCCTGGCTCCTCCCAGTCCTCCACCTGTCAAGGCTTCCCGCTCAGCTCAGATGGGGACACACATCCCAAATGCATTCCCAGCCCCGCATCGGAACCAGTCTTCCCCAAGTCCCTCTGAATGTGCCACCTCTGTGTCACCTGACCCTGTTCTGCCTTCAGTCCTGGTTCCTTCTTGGCCTGATGATCCCTCCTTTGTGATGATAACCCTAGGGGTCAGTACCCTATGGTATCCACTTGATTTCCACGTGGGTAGTGTCTGAAAATTATTTGTTGGTTGAGTAAATGAGAAAGAGGAGTATCAACAACAGTACTCTTCATTAATAGATTTACCATTATGAGCGATACCTATTTGGAACTCTGCTATAGGAAATATTTCCAAAATGTCCAAGTACACAGAATGAACACCATCCAGTGAACATATCTGACTTTCTCTAGTGATGAATTTTCATGGCCTCGGTAGTTTTCTGTAGACCAGATGAATCAATCAGCTACTTGTGCAAGTGCCGACTTTGTACCAGACAATGTTCTTGGCACCAATAGTGAGCAAATTCATGTCTCTGATTTATGAGCATACATTTTCAAAGTGATGGATGATAAACTAGTAAATAAATGAACAAATTAAACTGAGGCAGTGAAGGGTAGATAAATCAGGACGCTATGACAAATGGTGATGATGGGGGAGAGGCTGTGGTGGTGACTTAGGATGAGATCTCTGAGGTCAGAAGTGTGGTCTGGGATCTCAGGCCCACAGGCCAGTGGAGATAGCGGAGGCATCTGGAATGAGAGCTGTCCAGCAGAAGACCTGCTTAGGCAGGATAAGATAAAATGTATTCGTAGGACAGATGAGGCCAGCATACTTGGAATAAGGGTTGACTGGAGAGCCTGCTTCATAGCAAGGTTAAAAATAATGACAAGCCAGAGCAGATTTGACCCCGTAGACATCGGAAAGGATTGTCAGCTCTTTTAGGCAGTGTAGGGCATGACATAAACAGATAAGGCTTCAAATACAAGCACACGCGCCTCTGTGATCGGGAACTCATTTTATGGTGGATTGTCTCCCTTACTAGATAACTCTATGTTGTAGTTTAAGTTGTGTTTAATTGACGAATTCAGGTATCCAATCATTTGCTACATCCCGTATTTTAAAATGAATAAATTAATGACATTTTTTCCAACTTCTGCTTTTGCACTGGTGTTCTAGATTTCCAGCTGCACTCCTGATGGCGAATTAAGCTCTGGGAAAGCCTGGTCATAGGGCCATCACTGTGGAGATGACCATCCCATTCGCTTAGGCTGGTGGCATGATATTTTAATGTGAACAATAAAGTCGAATTCCCTTCCCAGATTAGATTGCACACATTCACCTGTAAACTCCTTCCACTGTTAGGTTTTTGAGACACAGGGACACGAAGGCATGGCGACCCCTGATTCTCCCTGGTTAGTCTCTGGTGGGAGAGGGAAGCCTGCACCCTGCAGTTAGAAATTACGCTTGGCAATGACGACTGTAATTTTGTCATTTGGCTTAAGTCTGGGGTTGGCTCCAAAAACAGATGTTGATAGTGACACCTAGTGGATCTTGAGTAAATAAAGCCCTGTGACCTATACAAGATTTAATTAATTGTCATGTAGTGATTCAAGAGCCAAGTGTTTCACTGTTTCCATGTTCTAAACCATGAAGCTGTTTCCCCAGTTACCCATTGGGGGTCTCTAAAATTTGAAACTATCACGAGTATTGAAACGTAACTTACTGTTTCTTCCTGTAGACAGAAGACCCAACCATGGAGCGACCCTATACGTTTAAGGATTTTCTCCTCAGACCAAGAAGGTGAGCTCTGGAGGTGTACTTACTTATTGGTTTTCCCTGAAGAAGATTTAGATCTGTTCCCTATTTCATCTTTTAACCAAGTCGTCCCAGATGCAAAAGGTGTAGCCAAGTCCTATCCTTGATATCTCATTTTCTTCCATCTTGTAGTCATAAATCTCGAGTTAAGGGATTTTTGCGATTGAAAATGGCCTACATGCCGAAAAATGGAGGTCAAGATGAAGAAAATAGTGAACAGAGGGAAGACATGGAGGTGAGTCACCGGGCTTTAGACCTTGGTCTGTCTGCCTTGCCCATGATTATATTTATGTTTTAGTTTTGAAGCCTTTACAATCAAAGTAAAACTAATAAGGCTTAAGCATGAAAAGACTCACACAGGTTCATAGCTCTGTCTTTGATAATTTATCCATGAGTTTTAGTTCAAAAGGTGAACTTTTCATTGCATGTGACAACACTAATAACTGGAGACATTTCTGCTTATAAAATGCATTCCCCATATTTTATGATTTCTATCACTAGTCCCACTCCTCTGTGAAATTCTCCTCCCTTGAACTCTTCAGCCCTTTGTAAATTTCTTAGGCTTGGAATTTTTTCCAAGAACTAAAATGACTTTGGAAATCTTTTTCAAATTTCTTCCACCTTTGACCCATGAGTGATAACATTAAGTTAGGAAAGTTCTTCTCTAGAAATGCCATTTTGAAATTAGCTCACCAGAGGTGTTTTCTCTTTTCTCTCCTGATCAAAGCTGCCTTTGAACATTCTCATCACAGAACTCCACACGAGTCCCAAGTACCTGGGTAGTGCATGCTTTGGGCCGTGCTGTTTGGTTAGACAAATCCTCACATTGTTCCGAAAGGCCCATCTGCACTCCGCACGTCATTCTCTCTATGGCTGCTGAGCACATCTGTTTGCAGCTGTTGCAAGAGGCGCCATGTGTGAGTGACGTGTTGTGGGCAGGTTCACCACGCCCCTCAGGCACCGCGGTCCTGTTTCCAGCAGGACGTCATCTGTGGGCTTTCATCTCCGTGTATGCGAGAGCAGTGAAGTGGGTGGTAGACAGTTGGGAATGTTAAGGTTTCATAAGCACATCATCAGATTTTTATCTCCAATCCAAGGAATTTTGTGCACTCGGCGAGCCTTCCAGCTGCACCAACCAGTGAATTACTTAATTTTCCAGTGACTTTACTGGGGATGTTAAGAAGGATTACTTAACGCCTAAAATATGCGTGGCAAAAATGTAACTCTAGCTGGTACCATGAAGCCTGCTGATGGGCTAGAACAAGTGGGAGGCACCCAAGTGGAAAGCAGCCGTCTCCAGGCTGCTGGCTCCTGGGATTTGCGAACTGCAAGCCGGCAGGGAGCCGTCCGTCCTCCCAGAGCAGCCTCGGGGCCTCCTCCCTGGGGAGTGCTCCCGACCACTTGTGCCGGGACGTCTGTGAGAACACATGTACACTCAGGCTCCTCTGCCTGGCTCCTGGCTACCTTCGGGGATGTTGAGAAGGCGACAGCTGTGACATGACCCGTGTCATCAGCCTGTTGGTACAGCGTGGGCAACCTCCGGTCAGAATATGGAACACGAAATAGGACGAGTGCAGTGTGACTCGGTGACATAACACTGTCCATAGTCAAGCTGCGTTGCTCCCCACAGTATGGCGTAGCTAATGGGCCACTACTCAAATGATTTTTTGAGATGATTCTAGAACTGACTTCTGTGCCCTTTTGGGGGGATTTCTCCAGAGGCAGCACATGAGCCAGGCCCAAGCCAGAGTGCAAAGGAGCAAGGAGGGGCGCAGTAGCTGTGTCTTCCTAAGTCTGAGGACCGGCCTCATCACCTTCCTCTTCCTTGATTCCGCAGCATGGCTGGGACGTGGCTGACTCCAATGACTCAGCTTCCCAGCACCAGGAGGAGCTCGCGCCACCGCCTCTGCCCCCCGGCTGGGAAGAAAAGGTGGACAATTTAGGTCGTACTTACTACGTCAACCACAACAACCGGACCACCCAGTGGCACCGCCCGAGCCTGATGTGAGTGCTTAAGGGGGGACAGGCCACGTCCTCGTGCTGGGTCAGGGCCATTCTGGGGGGGGGGCTGCTGGGGGAGTGGGCTTCTCTCAGCATCGCCAAAGGATGCACCTTCTCTTAGTGGAAAGAACAGGAGCCCATCAGAGTTCAGGGATTCTGAAGAAGCCGCTCTTGCCTCTGGTCACAGCCTGCCGTCTTACATGGGAACTCTTTATTTTTATGTCTGTGAAGATTCGTGAACTATAAACTGGATGTTGCTTTTCCTAGATTTACCTTAGGTACGTGACTATCACCTCCCACTTGGGCATCCTCTCCTGACTCACCCAGAATAGAAAACAGCAAGAAGATTTGGCTGTGCGATTTTTCTCTTGAAGGTTTTGGATTTTCGTGCCCATTAGTTACATGATTTGGAAATCCTCTCAAAAAAATTTTTTTTCCTTTTTGAGAAATTTATATATCATTCCCTTGATATAATTAGGAACACATGGGAGGGTGGTAAACTCAGAATTGCTAATTACTGTTTATTCTAATCCCTCCCCAGCCTCAGGGATGCAATGAACTGATTACTGTTTTGTTCACTCGGCAATTTTTGGTTTGATGACAGCAAATAAGCACTCACTAAACCCCAGCTACTATAAAAGAGGATTTGAAGCAGCTTGTTTTTAATAGTATACAGCAAGACCTAGAGCTATTAATATATCATGTAAAGGAAAAAACAAACTACCAAAAGAAGGAAAGGAACAGTGAGCCTAGAACTCTTGAGCTCCCCGGCAGCCAGGACAAGCTGGCAATGAATTGTTGTTTTCAATATGTAATAAAAGCAAGTCTCGTAAGTCAGTTCGTTTTATTTTGAACAGAGTCTAAGAGGACCTTGCTAGTGGGATAAGGTGATATTATACATTTGATTGACATGAAAAAGGTGGCCGGGAATCCTGGTCTAGGTTCTGTTTTGTTCCACCAGAGAGAACGCTTTCAGACAAGTGCCTAGCCAGGCCTTCCTAACCCTGATGTGGGTTCCTGTGAATATTACTGCCTTGCGCAGCTTGGACGTTAGCTCGGGGTCCCCAGGCCCACACAGATAATCTGAACGTATGGATGATAGTGAACTCTCCCTGTTTGATAGTTTGTTTCCATAAAAATAGCCGTGGGACCTGGTTTTGTGAATTTTTTAGTTATTTTTCTTTTTTTTTTTTTTTTACTTTCCCCTTTGATTAATGACCACAGCTAGTATAATAACAATAAGGCATTTATTCTGTATTTTTAAAAATTTGGTCTCGTCTAGACTGGCCAATGTAGTGATCAGAAGAATCTTAGTGACACTACCCAGCACAGAGTGTAGTTATCTGCCTTTATTAAGCTTAGGAAGGGGGCACCCAAAAGCATTACCTTGTGGGGACCAGTGTCATGTGACCTCTGTAGAAATGTGGCCACTAGCAGCTCACCAAGGAAGAGGTGCTGGTGGTTAATGTAGCTGTGGAAAATGTTCACCCTCATTTATGATTCTGCAGATTATTATAGTAGCTTTATACAAGCCTATAGAATACATGAATGATATAATTATGTACTTATGCAGATTATATAATAATAACTATGTTTTTTGGACATGGGAATAATACCAGTTTTTTTCTACCTCACAGACTTGTGAAATTATGAGGAAACACTTGGTAGATATATAAAGAATTATTTATATATAAATATAACATATTTATATGTAAGTATATATAGGATCCTTAGAACTTACATATACATAATATGTATATTAAACATATTATGTATGTGCCTATACATGACCTCACACACAGATCTTAACTGTCCCCGAACTTGATAAATTCATGGTTTTTCTTGTCCTTTTCATTTTCCATAAAAGTCAAATGAAGAATTATATATGTGAAACTACTGAAGAATGTTGAGATAACCATTTTTAAATTTTGCCTTGTTACCGATAAAATCGCCTTTCTGTTTTAATTTTTCAGCTCAGAAATACTCTTCAATGTTCATCTTCCCATTAATGGCCACTTAAACAGTCAGTTTCACCAACCCACTCATTGAGTCGCTTTATTAAATGCGAAAGGCCTGTCTTATGTGACATTTTCATCTTTATCACCTAAAGATCACGGAAGCCATGGCTGGTATTTCGAGGCCAGAAGTACTTTGCCTCTTACAGCTGTTAGTTGGTTCCAGCTCCCTCCGCTTCCTAGTCATTTGGGTGTGCTGGGTATGGACGAGCAGAATAATCAGTGTCAAACCCTGCCTTTATAAAGCCACACCTTTCTGGAAGAGTGGAATTTCTGTCTCTCGTGAGAGCTACAGAATGCAGACGACATGCACTAGTAAAACCTTCTCCTCACCCTCTCAGGCCTGTCTGTGATGATCCCAGTTTGTGCATCACCAAGCAGGTCAGCCAGGAAACAGCCACTCAGTGTTGCCTGCACCAGGGATGGCCCACATGTCGACGGGAGATTTAAAATGTGGATGCAGTACTTTTTGTGGCAGGCCCGCCATTTTAAAGTAAAACTGTTTTCATCCTTAGTGAAGAGTGAGAGTAATGCAGAAACCCCTTTGCCCTCTTCGGCACAACAAAAATATTTTACACGTTTCCTACACCTATTCAGAACATTTCCTTCTAAGTGTTTTCCTGTTCTGTAATAGCCTGTAATTGCTTTTAAAATCATGACATGTTGAAGAATGCAGTGTCAAATGTAATGGCTGCAACAGCATGAAATCACCAGGACTATATATTTCTAACATGCCCACCAGTGTCAGGTTTATCATCCTGTTTTGTGGTTTCTAAACTTTCTTTAGTACACTTCTGTGTCCCTTGATTTTAATTATTTTCTCTGTGGCTCCAATTGTGTCCATTTTTCTGAAGGTCCGCTACTTAAGATACTATTTAGTTATCATTTAATATGCAGGAAATATATTTCTGCTAAGGTTTAAAAGTTGGCATTTGGTATGCAGGTTGACTGAAACACCATTGATTAGATTCCAGTAATGAGGAATTAATATTTTAATGTGAACTGGTTGGAAGCTAGCCTTCATACTGCATTGTTTATCAGAGCTAATAATGTAAAAAAGTTTGGTGAAACTATTTAAACCATCTCAAACTGGTGTGTAAAAGTCACATTTGTGCAAAGTGTTGCTAACTGCACATTATATTCACTGTTTCAGGGCTCAGCAGTCTCTTTTTTGAGATATAGTGTAAGTTAGACACTGGACTAGAATGTTTTAAACCTGTTTGGGGAAGAATCTATAATGAGGGTCCTTGATTAATAAATCTGAAATCATGTTTTAGTTATTTACATAATGATTTAAATAATGTTACGTACTTTGAAATATTAACTTACAGCGTCATTTCTATTCACTAAATATACTATCTTATTGAGAGAGTCTGGGACAGTTTTCTCTGAAAAACATTTTGATATTTAAACTTCTACTTTAAAAGCCTCCCTCAGACGAGTGCCTGTAATTTACTGTAAAAGTTTTTAAGATTGTATCGATGCTTTCAGATCCTGAATTAAGAGACTTATAATAGGACCAAAGAAAGACAGATTTGGGAGCTTCTCACGGATGTTGGTCTGAACGGCTAACAGTAGTTTAATGGGGAGAAAACCACACCAGGGTCCTGAAACAGTCACAGTGAGAACCTAGCAGCTAAAGAGTTCATGCTGCACGGAGAACACTTGTCTCTGCTTTGAACTTGCACTGCCTGACGCCTGGGCCATTGTTAATGACCACAAGCTGCTGCCCTGGCATTCTAGCTTGGCCAGGAGGGCAGGTGGTCCTTGCAGGATGTACCCTGTGTGAACGGACCTGTGGTCTGTCCTCAGAGAGCGCAGGTGAATAAAGCACTTTGATTTCCTTTCCTTCTTACATTGGAAAGTTTATTTTGACTGTCCCTGAAGGACACTCAGAATATTATAACTGACACATTATAGACTGTGTCGGTCCAGTGAGGTGGACCTAGCCCTATTGTTCAGCCAAGACAGAGAGGACGAATGTCCCTGTGTGTGGCTGGTACCTAGCAGGGTTTAACTAGGGAGCATGGCGTCCGGGCAGGCCTAAGCCCTGGGTAAGTGTCAGGTTGTGGCCGGAGGGCCATTAGCCACACGGGTTCTTCTGTCTCTCCTCCCTGCACATTTAGGGATGTGTCCTCCGAGTCGGAGAGCAACATCAGGCAGATCAACCAGGAAGCCGCGCACCGGCGCTTCCGCTCCCGCAGGCATATCAGCGAGGACCTGGAACCCGAGCCCAGCGAGGGGGGCGGTGATGGCTCCGAGGTAAGCGGCTGGCGCCCTCTGCTCCCACACTTCCTCCTGCAAGTCTTCCGGCTTTTGTCGTCATAACTAATTAACGGCCATGGGGTGTTCATTTAGCCAGTTCTTGCATAGGCTGCGTTTGATGAATACGTCACTCTTCCGTTGTATAAGGGAATGAGGTGATTTTCAGTGTGGAATTCTTAATAGAGTCTCATGTTGTAGTTTATTTTCTCCCGGAATCAAATCATAGCTTATTCAATGGCAGCACCATCACCACAGTTGAGCAATTGAATGAATCTCTATAATCACTCAAATACAGGTTTTTACTGAGTAGTTTTTGGCATCGGAAGAGATTCATTATACCTAGAAAATACAAACTTGGGTGAAAAGAAGTACTTGTAATTTTCCCCTTCAGTGTGTATGAAATCTTACCAGGGAGCAAATTATGGTTGAACAACAAATTAGCCACTACCAACACTTCCTTGCTGCCTTACTGTATTCACTTACTAAAATTCCATTCCTCCTAGATGTTGTCTCAGTGATATCATTCAAGAAATGTCCCAGTGGTTGAAATTGGAAAAAATAAACAAGGATGTTAAAAAAAAAAAAATTAATGCTTCCATAGTAAATTCACTAAAAGCTGTTTTATACTTGTGATTAATTACAGCTCCTATCATCTCTGCTTTGTCATGGTGATTCCTTGATAATCAGAGTAAAAGAAAATCCTGAATGAATTCCTGAGCATGCTTTCTATCCCTCTGCGCAGAGAGGTGTTATTAAGTGCAGAAAAGCACAACCCCTGGAACCAGACTTTCTTGGTTCAAGTCCCACCCTGGCCACTTCCTTAAGCTCTATTCTATTAACCTTGGGCAAGTTACTGTGGGAGCCTCGGTTTCCTCATCTGTTAATTAGGGCAGTCAGTGTATCTTCCTGGTGGAGAAGTTGTATACTCAGTAAATGTTAATTATAGAGATCATAATGGTTATTATTGTATGTTTTTGTTTGGGGTGTGTGGAGAGGATCCCTCATTCCTAGCATTGACCCCAATGTCTCATTCTTTAATAGCCTTGGGAGACCATTTCAGAAGAAGTGCACAGTGCTGGAGACGCCCTCAGTCTGGCACTGCCCCCGCCGCCAGCCTCCCCCGTGTCTCGGACCAGCCCTCAGGAGCTGTCTGAGGAGCTGAGCAGAAGGCTTCAGATCACCCCAGACTCCAACGGCGAGCAGTTCAGTTCTTTGATTGTAAGTTACAGTCTTTTCTAGATTGAGAAGCTAAACGAGTATTTTATCATTTTTGGTTGCGTTAAGAGAATGTCATATATAAATAATGACCAAGGGTCTTCCAATCCCCAGATGTGGTCCTCCTTCTTCTGGAGAAACAAGAATATTTGAAAGTTAGCCTAAGCTGGTAATAATCTTTCTTGATTTATAAGGACCTCCAGGAACTAGGAATACAGGACTTCTGTAATTCTGCATTAACCTGGTAGAATTTCTTTTCCCTGCTGAAGACTCATAAGTACCGTCTTCACCTCAAAGGTGGTATTTCGACATGCCATACCTTGTCCTCCACTCTCTTAAGTCCTACACTGTGTGTTTCATCGTTCACTTTTCACAGACGGAGGAATGATGTTAAAGTGGCCCATCCTTACAAAGGTAGGAGACAGGAGGTATTGCCTAAGGCCCAGAGTCCAGATCCTGAGAAAGGTTGTACATGAGTCGCTGGCTTGAAGCCAGCATTGAAAGTTGGCTTCTCAGCCATCAGGGACGCTCTTTCTAGATGCTTCCGATGGGGTTAACCCCTGTTGAGGAGCAGCAGAATCAACCATAAAGACCTCTATGTTTAATCATAAAACTGCAAAGAGAAATAGAAAATTTCAATTTGTGACCTCCTGGGTGGTACAAGGAGTTAAGTCTCAGCCCTGTGAAGCTACCAGTAGCCACTGCAATATGAGCTCAGTCCCCAGCCAGGGAGCTGACCCATAGGGCACAGCAGACCACTCCTGTCTCTCCCACTGCTCCCCTCAGCATATTTCGGTCAGTCAGCCTGTCCTGCTCTCTACTCTAACTCTGGTGAATCCTCTCACCCACCACCACCTCTGGCCTATACCATGCAAGCTGGCTCTTGTATGCATGAGTAAATAAATCTTAAAAAAGAAAAAAGAAAGAAAATTTCTACTCGTGCATAAAATCAGGAAACAAATGCAGTCTCAGTATTTCTCGAGAAATTATACTTAAAGATGTGGTCACACTGCTGAAAATGGGTTGCTAACACAATAGCCATTATTACAGCCAAGTCAACTGTAAAAGCAAGTAAGTACTTATAAAATTGCTACTCCTTCATTGATGGCGCTTTATTTTAAAAGATACAATTGGCCCATATTATATGAGTTGCAGTGATTACTCAGTTAATGTGGTTTCATATTAAAATTCTATGAATGTTTTTCTGAAAGAGAAATACCGCTGAGATAAAAATTTAGTAAAAGGGCAGGAAAAAAGATCTCACAGATGGTATATTTGAATTGGTAAAACTGTTGCTATGGAAACAACATAAGCAATGAAGCCATATATTTAAAACACGTAAGAGGAAGAAGCAAGCACTGCGAGATCCATGCAATTCTATACCTTTAGTGTACCAAGTGAAATTCATCATTTTCTTCATCATGGATATCAAGTCAGCATCTCTAGTTATTTGTCGAGGGAGCTGCTGCCGTTAGTTATTGCCAAACTATCAAATAGCTTTAAAGTCCAAGTGTTTGATCTGTGTTTGATTATATAAAAATGCAGAGAGAGCCAAATGTCAGTATTATTTTAAGGTTGTGTTCTTTGAGTTTGGTTCAGCTGACAAGAGAGCTTAGGGAAGAGGAGAAAACAGAACTTGTCTGCAGTTGCGCTCATCAGGGTCTCTCCGCACAAGCATGAGATCTTGCTGAAGAGGGACTCCTCACGCCGACCCTCCACGGGGCTGCTTGGCCTCGTCAGCATGCAGTGTCGCCTGGGCCCCGCCCCATTTATTACTGCAAAATACCTCAGATGGGTAGATGCTCAGCCTCGTCCCATGGGTGGGCCTCTTGCTGTTCCATGACTGGCGAGCTGCTGTCCTCTGACTGGATCTGTGGCACTTTTTTTTTTAACCACATAAATGAATACAAACACACAAGAGAAACTTCAAATGTGACACCATTATTACTTGGTTTATTTATTTTTTTTTAATGTCAACTTCACTGTTTTCCTTCATTCCCATGATGAACAACTCAACACTGGTCAGAATCTAAAGGTATAAACACTTGGCCCTTGAGGAGTAGTGCATGATCGTGTTTGAGGCCCTCTAGACAGAGAATGCAACCCAGTCGATGGGAATAAAATTCAGTAAATGTTGAATAACCATCGATCAGTATCCCTGGATCAGTATCACAGTGAGTTCACCGAGAGGCAGACGACAAGGCTGCCACCTTCTGATTCCCATCACTGTGGACGGTCTGTGGCCTGCTGGTCACCCCTCCTGTTGAGGAGATCTCTTCCTTTTGCTATTTCTAAATAAGGAGCAATCAAAATTCCACATTTGCTTGAGACACTGAACTCTTTCTTACATCGTTGTCCACTTTTGTGCAGTAGTTATTTTCTCTCAAGTGTAGCTGTGGTTCTCCTGCTACCACATCACCTGTGACCACCACCACAGCCCCACGTGTTCCCTATTGCCTGTTTTGACCCCTCCCTTGCATTTGCCTCAGATCCATGGTCGGCATGCTAGTTTTGTCGTTTTTCTTGATCTTTTCTGTGGTTTTCCTATACCCCACACATATGTCGACCGTCCCAGATTTATCTTTTTCCTTCTGACTTGTTTCGGCCAGCATAATCACTTCCAGCTCTTCAGAACACTAAAAATGGACCTAGCATATGATCCAGCAACTCCACTCCTAGGCACCTGCCCAGAGAACACAAAAACCTTCATTTGAAAGGACACCTGCACCCCCCGTGTTTGGCAGCACGGCTTACAGTAGACCCCGGGAACTTAAATGCAGGGTGACTTGCCTCCTTAAAGGAGCGGTCGCTCGGAAAAGGTGATGTTGTGTCACTCCCTCCTGCAGTCCCGGGGGTGAGTAGGGTTAGTGACAGGTGCTCTTCCACCGTGACTGTGTCTCTGAGGCTGTGTTTTCTCGATGCCCCTGTCCGCCCGCCCCTGCAGCAGCGGGAGCCGTCTTCACGCCTGCGGTCCTGCAGTGTCACCGACGCCGTTGCTGAGCAGACGCACCTTCCACCGGTAACACGCTCATTTCCAGCCCTCGGCTGACTCTTGGGCCTTCCGTGTAAAATCATCTTGGCTACTGGGGAAGAGTTTTTCCTGTGCACATCCATTTACCAAAGAAATAAGACATCCCAATTTCCTAGCAAATTGCCCAAAGAGGTGGATTTCCAATACACAGAGTGGTCACAAAGTCTCTGAGGTTCAAAGTCTACAAGTCTTTGCCTCGGTTTGCCACCCAAATTAATACCAATTCTGATATGCTTCCTTGACCTAAGTTGCTTAACTGAAAACGTGCATCAATGATTTCTTTTTTAAAGGAACTTACTTAGTTGCTAAAGCTGTGCTCCGCACACAGGGTCCGTTTCAACAGGAAGAACTCTTCTGGGTTGGCAGTGAATGGACCTCTCCATTACTAATGACCCTAACTCTTAACCCTCCCTCCCCGCTGTGCCTTCTCTCTAAAGGCAGCTCTTCTCACTAGAATACTGGCTGCAATTTGTTCCCACTCCCCCGTGGCCTCATCAGTTGCAGCAAACAGGAAAGGGGAAGGGGTTTTGGAACCTAGAGGAGAATTGCCACACTGAGTATTCCAGTTGGAAGGCTGACCAGCTCAGCCTCGGGACATGCGTGGTGTTGAAGCCACTTTAAGTCTGTTTGTTTCTTCTTTTGGAGGTGAAAATGTGAATGGGGGTTAGCATGTTCACCTGGATGGTTTACTTTGACCAGTTTTGTTTTATTCCTACAAATCCTTGCTCGTTCCTTGATTCCATGTGCAAGCGGTTGGAGAAGAGGGCTTTCCATGATTGCATTCAGTGTCTTCTCAGTCTTGTGCATTTGCTCGACTTCCGAGGATATTTCTGCCTGGGCTGTAGTCTTCTAGATTTTCAAGATGAACGAATGAGCTATTTCAAGGTTGAACTAATACATGAGGTGAATGAATAAACCAAATTAGACTCAGTTGCTTCTGGCCTCAGCTGGGCTGTTGACGAGGGCCCTTCCTGAGCTGGTTCAGGTCCGCTCCCAGACAGCACAGCAGTCGGCACTGACGGGAACAAACACCTCAACCTGGTGATCCTATGACTTTCCTCGACAATTCATGGCTCTGTCTTTCCTTTGCAAAATCAATGTTGATTTTATTTACCAAAGAGCTCACTGTCCTGGAAAATGATGATTCCTCCCTCTTCCTAGACTTGCAAGAAGTTGGGACTTCACTGATCACCCGGGGCCTCTTGAAGTTTGAGTTGAGCAGATTTCTGAATCTGCTAACTATTGAACAGTGGGGGCACCGCACACTCCTGAGGCTGTCTGTGTGGTTACGCACATCTGGGCGCAGACTGTGCCTGTCTGTGGAACAAGGACGCTCCTCCCGGCCCCTGGTCCTCAGTGGTCACTCAACTTTAGTGGGACAGGGTGCTTTCCAGGTCTGATTCTGGCACCTTCCTTCCTGGGCCGCGGCAATGGTGGTCTCCTGAAGTGCATCTCACTGACGTAAATTATCATTTAACAGCCCGGTGGCCCGGCTAGGAGAGCACGTTCCTCAACCGTCACAGGCGGTGAAGAGCCAACGGTAATGGTGCCCTGGGGTCAGACATAAATGGCAACGCTGTGGGTTGGTTTTAATATTTTGTAGAGTGATGCCTATGCTCTTCTCTTCCTTGTTGAGAAGATCAGCATCTCTGTGCCTCAGAGCTGCATGTGTTTCTGATTTTAGACTTCTCCCTTTTGCACTGTTTGAAATTGGGTAAAATGGAACAGTTTTCAGTCCCGGGTAGTATTCATAGGAATACTGTTGAGCTTTGGTTAAGTGTATTTAATGGCACCTTTAAAATGTACCTCTGCCTTTCAGGGTTTGTACCAGATCAGCTTTTCCTGTTTGTCAGCTGCTTGAGTAAAGTCTTTTGGCTGGAGGAGAATCAGAGAAGCCACAGGGTCGCGTGCCGAGGCTCCTGCGGGCTGATTCTTGGTGGCACTGCAGGGTCCTCTCGTGCACGTCCTACGGCAGATTTTAAACACGGGGTTCAGTTGTCTGTATCATGAGAGTGAAAGGATGACCCTTCTCTGCTATCAGAGATCTAGGATCCCAGAAATGAAGAAAGGTTCATATAACCTGGAGACCTGAGAGGGGGGAGCAGAATTCAGATAACTACAGGGTTTAGGAAAAAATGGTCTTTCAGCCACTGTTAGTTTATTAAGTAATTTCTAGTGCTCATGTTTGTGGGTAACTTGGGTGTCACTATGCTAATTGCCTGTTTTTTATTTGACCACTACAGACAGGGTAGCTTATCATTTATGTGTTGAGCGGCGGTAGCTATTTGAAGAATTTCCTTATCGTTCCATCTTTGTTATGAGATACTGAGAATACCTTTAAATACATACACAACTGCTGGTTTCTCTGCATGATGTACATGATTTCAAGGCACAGTGTCGTCGTGTTAGAATTGAGTGGTCCACACTGTAAACAGGCACCGAAACTCCCCCAGTGCTGAGCTGCAAGTGTGCAGGTATGTGATGGCTCAGCCAGGCTCAGACTCTGGTAGAATTCAAGAAATGCCAAAGTACCACGAGCCAGTGGTTCTGCAGGGGTGAGGCTGCCAGGTGGCCGGATCACCCCATGAAATAACATTAACAGAGCTCAGTGCTGGGACATCCGCTGCCCTCCAGTTTTGCCTTTCATTGGCCTGCAGTGAGTGTTGGATGTGGTAATAGCTGATGGTACGGAGTAACAGGATGAGCTGACTTCTGAGCGTCCTGGGCCCACGGTGACTCTCTGCGGGACAGAGCGACCATGCTCAACACCGTCCCATGTGGCCACCACCACTGCTCACTTCCTCTAGCCTGCACTCGCCCCTGTGAATGAATTTTTTTAAATGATTTTGCTTTTATTTTTAAAAACTAGGTCACAGTTCATGTGTGTTTTCTGGGTACCTGGCAGTCTTTGGACTGCAATAAGCCCACTTATTTTATGGCTTCGTTAGAAGTGTAGATACATTTGAAAGTATCCATCTGTTTCTTGCCCACTGTCCCCATCCCTTGTCAAGAATGCCTTTGACTCTGTTTTCCGAGTCCAGCTCTTACTGTTGCTTTCCTCTCGTGCACCCTTGCCTCTGATGTTCCATCTCATGCTGCAGCCTCTCTGGGCTGTGTCATCTCATTTCTTCTTACTTCACACACACACACACACACACACACACACACACACACACACACACACACACACACCAGGTTGGCACATATTAGCAGCTTGATCTTCTTTGCTTGTGGTTGTTCCTCTGGGATATGTTAGTAATTACATAAAGTCATCCAGTAGTGTGAATGCACCACAATTTATATAACTTCCCCACACTGAAGAATGCTCACCCTGTCTTGCCCCAGGGTATCCCACACTACCTCACATTAACCATCCCGACATACCTGTCTTCCCCCAGTGCTGCTTTTATTCCTGCAGTAAAATAAACAGGCCCTGTTCTTGCCTATAGAGCCTTAGCCCTTTGAGGGACACAGATCTCTGCATTCAGCTTTCACCCTCTGGCTGCCCGAGCCAGGATCTTCCCTGTGGGAGAGAAAGGGAGGGAGAGGAGCCTTTTGGTCTTTGCTGTGTGTACCTTAAAAGTGCACTGAGCAGCTCCTATGGTAGGGTGTGGACACTCTTGAGAATCTGAGAATTAGCGCCAAGCTATTTACCACCTTTAAACCATATTGAATGGTTTAAATATAACGTTTTCTTCCATTTGAATGTCAACATGAAGCCACTATGAAGTTCTGGTTCAGTGGCCATTTGGCCTTGTGGAACACAATAACATGTTTGGGTGAGAAGCTGTGAAATATTAAATGAACACTTAAAAACTCATAGCTTTGGTATGTAGATGACTTCACTTGTCTTGAGGGAGTGAGCTATGTACTCCAGCACGTGCACAGACGCGCGCACACACACACACACTGAGGCAGCATAGGGAAGCAGAATTCTGCCACCTCCAAACTGTGTGGGAGGCAGTATTTTGAGTCATAAGTGGAATCATCAGCACAGGTTGTTCTCCATGGTCATTTGGACAAAGATATATAAAGAAGTATTTTAATAACACCTTCTTGCATAAATGGGACCCAACGACAGGCTGCAGTACAATTCTCAGCAGAAAGTGGAGTGAACGTTCCCAAGAAATGCAATATTTTTTGCTTCACTCTTCAGTTTTCCAGAAACTGATGAGTCCACTTAACGGTGGGTCTGTGGAAGCATCATGGCTGCGGGAATCCTGTCAGCTTTAGAATTCAATTCTGAGATCATCTGTGACACATCCAAGTTATTTTAGTTTTCTAGTCTCCTCATAAATGTCCTTTCTAGGGTTGCTGTCGCTGTAAAAATACCCTTCAGGTCTCCAGAATAGAATTTACTGAAGGCCTATCTAATTGCCTCTCCCAAAAAATAAATCTGCAGGCAGGAGGAGAGCAGCAGATTCCACTGAGCTTTCTATTTAGCCACGGCATTTCAGTCATCACAGAAACAACAGTAGGGCAAAGCTCGCTAGCATGCACCCTGCCAAAAATACTAATTGACAGCCAGCTTAGGTGACAACTGAAGCTATGACTTGGGTCACAGGGCCTGTTTCTACAGTGTCTTGATAGGACATAGCCCGAAAGCAGCTCTTTGGTGACACAACCAGAGAAGCCGTGAGCAAACACATGGGCGTGTGTACAAATCCACTGTCAAGGAGGGTCAAGTCTGCGTGTGACGCATCTTCCACTCTGGTTGAATCTCCACACCTCGATCCAAGACCCTGGAAGATCACAGTCTAGAAAAGATCATTGTGGGGCCTTTGACCCTTTGTCTGGAAAAGACTAAAGTAGTGGCTGCACTTTCAGCAGGAAGTTTCCTTACAAGTTGTCTAGCTTGGCCATTGGGCTTGTTTCAGCAATAGCTGCTCTGTGGCTCCAGTTTGCTTTTTCTTTGGAACGTGCCTTTGCCCTCATGAGCCTCTTTGGCTGTCACCTGCAAGTGACATGGAGGCATCCTTTATTCTGCTCTGATTCAAGGCCCCGGGGGGTGGGGGTCTCTTTGACTGTGACTCTCTTTGCCAAGGTATGTAGTGGTAGCAGACATGGGAGAGACGTGAGCACAGGAAGGCGTTGGCCTCGGGGAAGACTGTCATCCTCGGCCTGGTCAGCAAAGCCTCTGCAAATCCTAATTAGGGGAGATGGGACCCAAAAACAGCAGCTTCCTTTGGTAACCTCATGTGAGAGGCTTTTCCTGATATTTGACTTCCTGCTGCTTTCACTCTCCCAGGAGCCCTGGGTGGTGGTTGTCTTCTTGTTTCAGAGCCCGTTCCCCCACCTCAGACCAGCACCCCTCGCCCCTTCACCAGGTGGAGGATGTCCACTCCTAGAGGACATCCCAGGGCAGCTCCCCTCAAGTACCCACATCTTTGCCTCCAGGAGTCCTTGAAACCCCCTGATGGGCCAGCATGTCCACCCAGATGGCATTTCTCTGCTTCTCACAAGCAGATGTCCCAGGAATCCTTTTGAGGTCAAATTTGGACTACCTGGACATGCCTCTAGGCCCGGAAACTGCCTGTGCTTCCTTCACCCTTTAAGGAGATAAACTCAGGATGGACAGACTGGGGAAAACAGGTCACCAGACTCTGTGACCCTACCCTCACCTGGCCGGGGGGCTTCTAAGCTGAGGTGGTAGAACCAGCCCAGTCTGACCACAGTGGTGTGAGCTCCTGGAGGGGAGACTGTTTTTCCCCCAGAAAGCGAACAGAATAGAGAATTTAGGAAGAGGACACAACAGCATCCCTGAGACAGCTGTACTGAGTGAGGGAAGAGATGGCCTGAGCATCCCTGGCATGAATGTAACAACACCTGGCAGTGTCAAACACCCTTCTGTTCTCAATGGCTCAGCAGTAGAACTCAGGCATCAGCAGACAGCCGTGTGCTTCTCTTTCCCAGTATCACATTAGCAAGGTCCCCTGTGTGTCACTTCAGGGCCTTAGAACCAAGTTCTCTAAGAATATGGGCATATGGGCCACCCCTTCCCCTCCAGGCCACCTTGGGGTTCATTTCATGGTAGATTTGAAGTTGTTGGGACTCTATTGCTATTTTCCAGACATGTTTTCGTGTAGAATTAACTTTGTCTAGAAAAGAATAATTTTCTGGGTGTACATGACTTTATGAAACCGGTCAGGAAACCATTGCAAGATATTAAATAATAATGATTTCTCACACAAACAGCCATCAGTGGCCTATGTACACACTACGCCGGGCCTCCCTTCAGGCTGGGAAGAAAGAAAAGACGCAAAGGGACGTACATACTATGTCAATCATAACAATCGAACCACAACTTGGACTCGGCCTATCATGCAGGTACGCGGATTGCCACCGACTTCACCAGGCCACAGAAGCCACGGTATACATGAGATTCCAGTCCTGGGGTTTCGGTATCACTCGAGAGAACCCATACTTCAGAAAACTTGCCTCACAAAGAAAAGGCCTAAGATTTGCCTCAGCAAGAATTTGGTCCCAAATCAGTCTCTTGCTGGTCACATTAATTTTTAAATGGGACATGAAGGAAATTTCCAAAGTAAGAGCCTCTTACCAGATGGAGCTTCTCTCCCGACCCCCCCCCTCCCCTTTCTTTTATTCCAAGACTAGTTTTTATGCTGGGTCGGTGATTCATTTTTTTTTTATTTTTTTTAACAATAGAATAACTTTATTATTTTTGATAGATGAGGTTAAGAAAACATTAGGATAAAGAAATGCAATAAAACACATGTCTACAAAATTAAACGGTGATTCATTTTTATTTCCCTTGGATATGTTTCCCCATCGGCTCCCCCATTATTATGCGTCATCATTTCCTCCAGGCTTTATATAGGCCAGAGCTCCTATTAATGCTGCCTGTGATAGTATGAGGTCCTCAGTCCCAATCACATGCGCCGGGAGATCATCACACGAAGCTAACTTGTTTTTGCCTCCAAAATAGCTTGCAGAAGATGGCGCCTCTGGATCCACCTCAAACAGTAGCAACCATCTAATCGAGCCCCAGATTCGCCGGCCTCGTAGCCTGAGCTCGCCAACAGTAACTTTATCTGCCCCACTGGAGGTGAGAAGGCTGCCTCGTCTACCTGGGGTCCCGTCTCTCCTGTGACTTCTCACTCTCTCTTCTCTCTTAACTTGGACTTCCCTTTTGCAGCCACCTTCCTCTCTCTGGTCAGTCGTTGTGTTCGTGGTGAAGGGTGTTCTCGTGCAGCTGACATGCTTCTCTGTCACCCAGTTAACATTCCTGGACCCCCACCTGATTCTCATTCTCATTTGGCTGAAGCCGTGGTGACTTGTGCTGGATGTGGGCACTCCCCGAACTTTCTCCATCCTCGTGTCTCGCTCCTTGTTGGCTGTCGACCTCATTCGAATCGCATAGCGACTCTCCAGTTCCAGTGCTTCTCTTGAGTTTGACCACATAAGCTGTCGCTTTGATCATTTCTTTCCTTTGGACTGCAGGGTCTCCCACTGTGTGGGCATCTGTGTTTCTGATGCACAGTCGCATCGTACATCACGCTGCCGGCTGCTCGTGCTCCCCTGTTTGTGTGGTTCGGTGTCAGAGTCAGAGCCGAAGAGTGAATGTCTTGCTGTTCTAAACTTGACTGTGTCTTGGAGGTGGCCCCGGGGGTCTCTGGGTTTAAAGTGCTGCCAAGAGGTTGGGTGACAACCTTTCAGACTGTACATAAATGCCACTGGGAAAACCATGCGAATCCAGGCGGTTGTCTCCACTGCTGCAGGTTCTGCTTTTTGTGTTCTAAGAATGACCAACCCCTTGCCTAGACTGTGAGCTCATTAAGGGCAGGGGCACACTTGGCTCTGTAAAATCTTTAGCCGTAATGCTCAAGATAGAGCAATATTTTGGGTACATATCAATAAGTAGCAAAGGGTGATGGTCAAACGTGGGTCATGTTTCTGTGTGTTCAGCCAGCAGAAGAATTGTAAAGTTGGACTGAATTAAGAGAACATGGATAAGTGAAGTGGGTTTCTAGGAGCTTCCTTCTTGCCCTTCTCCAAAGAGGGGCATTTGGTGATACCCAGGTGCATTTTGACGCCTCTGGAATAGTGTGTGATAAGCATTCTAATGCTGGTTATTATTCCTTAGGGTGCCAAGGACTCACCCATACGTCGAGCTGTGAAAGATACCCTTTCCAATCCACAGTCCCCACAACCATCACCTTACAACTCCCCCAAACCACAACACAAAACCACACAGAGCTTCCTGCCACCCGGCTGGGAAATGAGGATTGCGCCAAACGGCCGGCCCTTCTTCATTGACCATAACACAAAGACGACAACGTGGGTAAGGCTCTTCGGCCGTTCTCGTCGTGAAGTCTGGCATCTGCTGCCTCATTTCCGTACTCGGTACCCACAGCTCAGAAATGTCTCTGACTCCGAAGTGGGTCCCCTAGACTGCAGGAAGGGGCTGGTGGGCGGGTGACTTCGGGGTACAGGTCCGTGGTCACTTTGGGCAGTGGGGTATGGGGGTGTCCTTTCCTGGATATCTCCAACTTGGACAGGTCACCGTATTGGGGGGAGCGGTCAGGCTCCATGTTGCTAGGATGTAGATTTGACTGGTTCAGATCGCATGATGCCATCATTTTATTAGGAATTCTGGTTTGTTTTTTGTTTTGTTTTGTTTTGTTTTTTGCAACAATTTTTCTTTGGTCAGTTTCTTTTTTTCATTTTTATTGCCGATTCCCCTCTCCGTTTGGATTTCGTTTTTCTGTTCTTATCAGATTAGTTTTCAGACCTCCCCACTGCATTCCCTCCCTTTAATTGCAGGTTAGGGGTGTGTGATGGGTTTGCATGGTCAACTTGGTAGCTCTTTTCGCGGCCGTTTTGCCTAATTGATTTTTCTCATCACACTGCTCTTGCATGCGCCCTGGAATCACATGTGGTTGTATTGACTTGAGCAAGATGAGATTGATCAAAGGGGGCTGGGAATGTCTTTGTATTCCTGTCAGGTCTTTGCGTCTCCGGCTGTGTCAGTGGTGGTTTATGTTAAGCACATACAGTTCTCTTAAAATTCAGTGGCATTTTTCTCCCGTATGATCTGAAGACCTATAATTAAACTGAAATTGGCTCTCTTGCTTCTATTTCTGAAGCTAGAGGAGGTTGGTTTTGCTCCCTGCCCCTGGTGCCCACATCTAGTTACCTGACACAGAGAAACTCGGTCCTCTTATTTGCGGCCCTTGCTTAGACCAAGACTGGTGTAGTGGGAATGGTGCTTGGCCTTAGCCCTCTGGTCTTGGATCAGCAGTGAACTCAGCCTTTACACTCCCGTGTCAGTGCCTGCATCACACACGTCTGGCCACCCGGGGGATGTGACAAGGAAGAGGCCCGGCCCAGCGTGATACGGACTGTCCTGGTGTGTCCAGGTCTTGAGACCTGAACAGGAAGGTCTGGGGGACTTACTCTCTTAGGCCCAGGGATGCTGAGGGGCCCTGAGGTTCTTGGTTTCGCCGCAGGAGAGAATTCAAGACCGAATTCATGCAAGAGTCAGGGTAGGTGGCTTAGGAATGAGCTTTATCTTAGGTGAGCGTGTGCTCCCCAGAGAGAGCAAGTAGGCAGACTCGGGGGGACCCCGCTGGGGTCTGAAGGGTGCTGGTGTGAACACTTGCCCAGTTAGAGGGACTGGGCTCCAGGGCGGGACCCTGAATGTTTTGGGCCACTGTTGCTTAACCAAAGGCTCACGGATTTACAGATTGGGGTGAGATTTGGCCATTTTTGTTTTTCAGACGCACTTGGCCCTTAGCATCCTAGTAGATGACATAGTTTTACAACTGTGGCTCCTGGTGTGAGATAAAATAGTAGGGCTTGAATCAAATTAATTCGGTTTGCGTCACTTTGTTCTGAAATGTGCTAAATTCCTGTTCTGCCTAACTCTTTTAACTCCTGTGGGTGGTGGTACCATATGTTTCCAGGACTGGATTGTGGGCCTTGGAGTGCGAAGTGGGAGGCAGTTACCAGTCTGCCCCTGCCCCCAGATGGCCGCCCTTCCTCACTGCACCCCCATGACAGTGACAGCCAAACGTGCCAACCATTCCTAACACCCCATATTGAAAATCACTAAAATGAACATCTGGCGATGTCCATTTGGTAAATTCATCATCCCATCTAAGGTATTCCAGCAGGCTCATCTTTTAGTCTGTAGATATTATTGTGGGTAAAATGAGTATAAAAAGGAGGCAAAGTACAGAAATGGGATCTAGACTAGATTGACTTTGGGTCTTTATTTCTCATTGGCTTGGAACCTGTGGCCATTGCTAGGCTAGTGTGATCATTTCTACTTCCTCCAGTGCTCTGTGATTTCAAATTGTCAGCCAGAAATAAGAGCTGCAGACACACGGGGGACTCGGTAGTGGATGGGTCAGCCTATGGAGCCACTGTGGCTTGCCAATATAAGCTATGATTTTAGTAATTTGAACTAGCTTAGTAATCAAATCCCCTAACCTTTTCACAGCCTTTCACGCCACAACTGCAATGTAATTGCAGCTGGGCAGATATTATTTTAAAGAGCACTCACTTTATTTATGGCCTGCATAGCTGCTGAATGAAATCTAGTTTGAATTTCCAGCTGTCCCTTTTACCCAGATACTTGTGATGGCCTAATTTGCTGATTTAAAATTTCAATTTGTTAAAATAACATTTTGTGGCTCCTGCTGCAAACCCTTCAGGTAACAAGTGGAAATTTCACAAGTCACTGCCCTTCTCCACTCATCTCAGGGTGCTCATCCAGCTGGGCTGGGTTCTCTCTTCTAAACAAAAGCTGATGCAGAATCCTCACTGTGGAAGCCATCCTCTAAATTGCCTGTTTATTTTGACAAAAATGGGGTTGCTGCAGGATAATTTTCAAGGCAGAGTCTGTTTTGGCTTGGGATTGACATTGTTTGTTTTTTTTTTTTAAAGAGACACAGCACATAAAGGAAAACCACATAGCTGTGCTTAGATTTGAACTTTGTAATAGAAAAAGGAAGAAAAACTCGTAGGACAGGTTGAGAACAAGGAAAACAGTAACCTTGCCCCCCACATAGGTCAGCTTGCCTTTAGTCCTTGCATAAGCAGAAGCTTCAGGGGCAGAATTGGGCTGACATGGCCCTTGTGTGTGTGCATAGAGGAAAACTCCCTTTGAAGTCTATTTATAAGACACAGCCTTTCACACACACATCCTGAAGCCAGTGTGCCAGGGAGCTTTCCAGAATAAGGTCTGGCCAGTAAAGCAAATGACTGTCACTTAGTCCCCACCTGGGTCTCGAGGACCTGGAGGCCTCGGGGTGCCTTTCTTCTGCCAGGGAAGCAGCTCAGCCTGTGTGTAAGAGTAAGTTCGTGTCCTTTATAGGACAAAGCACTGGCTTATTTTTGTAGTGAGAAAGATTATACCTTCATACAGCTTCAGGGTTTTTATTTCTGCTCAGGTCCAAACTAATAAAACACTCGCCGCCTCAGCTTGGCGGTGGGTCTCTTCCTGGATCAGGAAAGCCAGTTAGCATTCCCAAGTTTTATATATATATTTTTAACGATCCTGCTAGGAAACTCTTTGAAAAGATGTTGATCTTTGCCTTCTATTTTAAGCCCTTTTATTTTTTTGAGGGCAGCCATTGTGTGCGATGTGGAAATCATCAGGACAGCGTGAAGGAGTGCTGGTATTGTGCTAAGGAAAGGGAGAGGGAGCCGAGAGTGTCTCCTGTGCATTGTCCTTTCTGTTCGTGGCATTTGAGGCCAGTAGCCCAGCTGACACGGCCCTGCCCGACGCCCTGTCTGTCCTTCACCTGCTCCATCAGCTTGGGCTGCTACCTCCTCTCTGGTTCAGTAGGGTGGTGAATTCAGTGGTGCCCACTACACTTCGCCCTCAGGGCTTCATGGATGGCACTGTGCCCTTTTGCTGATTTTGTTGCTATAATAAACTAAAGTGGCCCCCCGGGCCACTGGCCCTTACATTAGGAATTCTGGGTTTCATGCAAAACGCTCCGTTGTAGCACATCTGGGAAACAGTTACTTTAATACTTCATATGCGCCCTCTCTCCCTTCGCCAGCCTCTGGCACTTTTCTTTGAGGCTTTTTTTTTTTTTAATTCTCTAAATTGCCCGCTCTTTACCAGAGCGCTGATGGACCTTCACAGTGGCCTGTGTGATTTCCCAGGCCTGGCGGGGCTTGCATACAGCATTCAAAGGCCCTTCCTTCCTTGCGACCCCTGCTCTCTCTAAGCCTCGCGAGGCCAGGGGCCCGTACGTCCACCCCGTAGGTGTGGCATGGCCTGGTCCAGCAGACTTTGCTAGGCATCTCTAAGGTTCTCCTCTGTCCACAATTAACTGTCACCAGTGTTTACCAGATCAGCACCTTCTTGAGCCTCCTAGATCCTAAATCTACTTAGTGCATCTGTTCGCACTATGTATGTTGCAATATGCAACAGAGACTGAACCTATTTGATACCTCAGCTTATACTTTTTAAAAGTGTTTTAGATGACGTTAAAGGTCAATATCTGTTTCCAACACTAGCTTTTTTTCCTTCAGTGAAAAGTTTGCTACAGCTAATAGAAAACAAATGTTGGTTTTATTTTTTGTGATTTTTTGGCTTTTTGCTAGTTCCTAAAAGCTCACTTTGTAATATTCCAGTGATAACTAACAATATACTGTTGGCTTGGGCTTAACATTATTGAAAGCTTTACTGACCTAAGTCACATACCATTCAATTCATCCATTTGAGATAGACACTTGACTGGTTTTTTTGACCATCCAGTGTCCAACCATCAACATACTCAATTGTAGGGCATGTTCAGCACCCCTAGAGGAGCCCCCACACCCATTAGCAGTCACTTCCATAAACTGGTAGATTTTAACTACAGAGTTGGCTTTTCTAGATAATCCTATCTCAAAAAAAAAAAAAAATGAGTTTTCTTGTTCTCCAGGTTACATACATGCCTGTTCTCAACCTTGGGAACATGGTGGGGCAGAAAATATTTTTGTAATTAGATAGCAACAAAGGCTTTACTAGAATTAAAATAAACCTTTTATGAGGTTTTAAAGAGTTTTTGTTAGTTCTTTTTTTAATTGTAGGATTAGTTGGTAGACAGCACGTAACACAGAGATTGATCATTGATTTTCTGAACACAGTTCAGTTGGGTCTAAGTGAGAGACAGCTCCCAGACTCCGGGTCAGAACTGGTGGGAACATTCTTAACCTGCTCTGAAGCTCCTGTTCTTATCTACAGGCAGGGAGCATGTGCCCAGCCTCCACACAGGGCAGCATCAAGATCATCAGTCTTACTGTTCTAAGTTTAAAGCATGAACTGCCTTGTTTCATTCAGTTTTGTTGGTTCTCTGTAATAGTTTATGAATCCTATTCCTTCAGAAAAATCTTTTGCAAAATTGTCAGTATTAAGACATAAATGAGACTCTACAGAACCGGATCAAGACACTTGGCACAAGCAAGTGTTGTGCCAAAGTGGTGAAGTCTACTAGCTCTGGGCCAGCACGTGACTTGATAGTCAGCCCAAACTCAATTCTCTGATTAGGTCAACAAAGCATAGAAGGCGTGCAGGAAGCTCAGATACAAATGGAGACACCCGCTGCCCTCACCTCCTCCAGAGCTCAGGATCCATACAAATGTACAGTCTGACCCTGCGCCCTCGGGGGGATGGAACCCCCCCTTTCATGGCACCATCCTTCTGGTTCGAAAGAAACATCATGGCCAGGAGCCGCCTCCCCTCTCCCTGCGCAAGGTCTCATCCCAAACAAATAGTTCACTTTTCATTTAAATACCCTTCCTCTCCGGCTTTCACCAAGCGCAAGGAGTAGAATCTTTTCCATAGAGGGTCAGTCAAGCTCCCTGCACACAGCCTCTTGCCCCTGCGCCGGCAGCCTGGGCACTTGAACACAGAGCTCCAGAAAGGGGGGAGCCGGTGACCGCACACAGACAGTCCGTCTTAACACCATCTGCCTTTTACATTTTTCTTGCAGGAAGATCCGCGCCTGAAATTTCCAGTCCATATGCGGTCAAAGGCATCTTTAAACCCCAATGACCTTGGCCCTCTTCCTGTGAGTACGCTGGAGACACAGGGGCCAGTTTGAAGATGTTTATTTATTCCTGATGTTGATGGAGAAGTCCTGTGACCTTCTCTTTGTGCAGGCTTTTGGGGTCCTCTTGGTCTGTAATTTCTTAATAGAACTGGGTATATGGCTGGTTCTAGTAGTACGTACGGTTCTCACTGTACTCAGGACATGTGAAGGAGGTTTCTGAATTGCTAACCGCTCGGGAGGATCGAGCTTGAAATGAGGTGTAAAAGGCATTCTCTATAGGTGGGAAATTTAAGCAGCATGCGTTTATTTCGTAACTTAGCAACCTCTGAGTTCCATCTATATTGCTGATGTAGTCATAGGGACAAAGGTATTGAAAACAGTAGGAGAAAAAGGCATACGTGATCACAGGAGGTTCCTATAAGTCTTGTAGTCTGCAGATACTTTGAGTTTTTCTCCCTTGTGATAACTGTTTATAAATCTGTTTCTTTTTTTAATCAGTTTGTTGTCTTTGGGGCCTGAATGGAAGTTGAATTGTCTACTCCAACTTGGATTTTGAATGAAACTTTGACCAGACATTCCCTCCCCATCTCACCCCCAATAAAGAAAAAGCCTTACAGGGTAGAAAGGGGAGGAACTTGAAGACTATTTTAAATGGAAGGATACTGGGTTTGCAGGGATTGTTTTCCAAGCCTACGCTCCTGTCTGTTCCCTAAGTTATAGTAAAGTGTGGCAGAATTTGAATCTTCAGAGGTTAGGACTCAATCTCCATTCACAGGCTGAATCAATCCCCTCATTCTTTGCATCCATTTGGATTCAGAAAGAATCCCAGAGCATGTCTGAGGAGTTTCAAAGTGTCAGGTGCGAGCTGTTGAAGCTCTGGGTTTCTGGCAGAAGTTAGCCAAGTGGCAATAATGAGGGCCGGCCTGCCTTGTCTTCCAAAGATCATCCAAATCCACTTGGTTCCTGCGTCTAAGTAGTGAAGGACCCAACTGAGATTGTTCAACCCCGATGATGTGGCTGAAGCAACTGTCCCTAACATGTCTTACATTAACCCTTCCTGTTTCATTAAATGAGCTCGTCACCCCCAAACTCCACTGTTGCATGGTTTGCTGAAGTCTCCCTTTGAAGCTTTTGCACCCCGTTTCCTGTTATTGCTGCAAATGCATCGGAGATTGTGGAAGAAGGGACAAAGCGTGCTGCTTGATAGTGTCGAGTTACCCCACAATGCTTATTGTTAGGTTACTCCAAATCTAAAAATGCACCCTTAGAGAGAAGAGAAAGATAGCATCCTAGAGGTTTAAACTTTTGCCTTTGATTTTGAAACTGCTGGCTAATGTTTATTTTCTCTCTTTGTCTTCCCTGAAACTAGCCTGGTTGGGAAGAAAGAATTCACTTGGATGGCCGAACATTTTATATTGATCATAGTAAGTAGGTCCTGTTCCAGACACAGAGGTATTACAGATAAAGGGGGGAGGGGAAGTCAAATATCCTATGAAAGCTGTGTCGTTTTACCCTCTGTCTAGGCAGCCAGCTGTTATGTGGAGACAGTGATGCCAGGGAGTCAGTGCCCTCGTACGGTACTGTGATTCACCCCAAGTTTGCTCCCAAGTGGCTGTTCAGCTTTCACCCAGTTTGAGCTCGTGACCTATTAACTTTCTTTTTTAATCAAAAAAAAAAGTTTTTGGATTGATGATCCGTGACTCTTGCGCTTAAATAAACACACTCTGGTAATAGAAAATAAGGTTAGAACTGATGTTTGCGTTACAAGTCTGTGTGAGCAGTGCTTGAAGCCATGTGTGTGTCTTTAAACACTGCTCTCTAAGGTCTCGTGCTAAATGCCCTCCCTAACTTATTTTCTATTCATGGTGTGTTTCCTTGCACCCAACACACTAATATAAATGTATTCCCTTTTCTTAAAATGTATAGTATATTTACAGTAGACGTTTGTTCCAGCACCTATGAATAATTGTGTGGCTTCTCACTTCAACTAAATGTTAAACTAATAGAAGTTTGCTTTTAGCCAGTGGGCTTTTGTTTTTCCTATTTTGAGGTGACCTGTTCTCCATGAAATCATACTTCTCTCTTCCCTAAAACTTCTGAAAAAGTAAAAAGAATTCTTCAAGTAGGTTTAAAGTCTAAACCAGGCTTACAGTTTGGTAGCCGTTGATCTTCATTTTCATTGGGTTCACAAGCAGTTAAGTCTGCACCAAATCTCCCCAGCCTCACCCTTGAATCCAGAGGACACAGACGAAGCCAGTGGCTTGCAACTCTGCCCGCTAGGTATTCTTGTATGGACAGGGCTGGTGGCCATTACCAAGACTGAGTGCCTCTTCCAGATGTCCCAGATAAACTGACATCTAAACAGAGAGGTTATTCTACCCTGAAACAAGCCCAGAGTTGAGCCAGAAGAGGCAGGCCTTAGGGAACCAGGTGAAGGTAATCTACCCTCTGCCTTAAATTAGGAAATTAGGAACTTCAAGGTGTGCAGACCTTTTTTTTTTCTCTTTAACGAGTAAAAATCCTGATTTGCCCACTTTGTGGGTTTTTACAGTCAGCAAAGCACAATTGCTGCTTTGAAAATAGATGCCCTCTTTTTCCTTGATACCTTAAAATTTATCATAATTTGCAAAACTGGAGAGGGATTTCCCATTACAAACAAAAAGTTTCCTTTTCTATGTTTTCATCCATTAAAGTTTGAGTTTTTAAACATGTTTAGATATTTTAAAATGTGCAGATAAGAAAGATCATTTTATTATAACAAGGTCTTAATCAGTAGCCGAGCCATGCTTCAGAGCACCAGGAATAGTTTGCGGCTGAATGCTGGCTGGTGAACCCAAAAAGAAGGGACGAACACATTTTTTTAATGCACTATGGGACCCAAAAACAAGAAAAAAAATACTGCCAAGGACTGTCCGGGTTGCTTGGAAATTAAGGTCGTAGACTTTTTCTAGTGGCTACAGAGACCTGTGCACGATGTGGTAAATGCATGGTCAGGGGCAGCTCAAGAAGGCAGGTGGGGTCAGGGTTAGGAGGTTGATACTCAAAAAGTTGGAGAGAGCCTGAAAACAGCAGTGGTATCTCCAGTCCCAGCGTGCCAGCTCCTGCTCTCTGCCTGGGCCGTCCCTCGATTCTAGATTCTTCCATGTGTGATCAGTGTCTTCCCAGAAGAGCCCAGGAGGCTCCTCTTGCTTCTGGGAGACCAGTAATGTGGTCTAGACTTTGTCCGGAACCCGCCTGGTCTGAGCCGTGAAATTCAATTTTTGTGATCATTTACATGGAAGTTAAAATTTACCTTTGTTCTTTGAACCTGATACAGTGAAAACTAAGTGGCCAGAAACTACCTAAGGGAAATCTTTGGGACATCTCAGTAGCTGTTAATACCACGTCTCTGCCTTTTCTCCCTAACTTGTCAGGGTTCTCTGAAAGGAAGGCAGTGAGGGACACATACCTTTCAGTGAGCCAGAGCTCAGTTCAAAAGCCTTTTCACCAAATCCAGGCCATGAAAAGCACAGAACACCTGTTGTTCTGAGATGCCTTGTTGGGCCTCAGGGTTACTCCACAAGGGGTTAGGGGTATGGGGGAAGGAGGGCACTCAGGATTGTTGGACTTTGAGTCAGTCTCTCTTCATAAGCAGCTTTCCCACATCTGATTTCTAGCAAAATTCAATATCTTATTTCACTGTCCTGCTGCCTGCAAGTCTGAGACCAGGTCACCCCTACCAGTGTCGTTTCACCTGCAAAGAGTCGTCTCATAAGTCACTCCAGTGCCCTGTCTTCCAGCATCGCTGGGACACTAGCGACACACTGAAAGAAGCAATGCACTTGTCTTTTAAATAACTAGGCGATTTTTCTGCTTCATTAATTTTTGAGAAGTTAGAAGTTTTCAAGATTAAAAATGTACAACCTCGTAAAAGTTTAATTTTGGAAAAGGCAGCAGTTCAGGACTAATGCCTTTGCTCTCCTGAGTCATTTGGCTGCATGGATCAGGGAGCTCACAGGCCTCCAGCCTGGAGTAAAAGGTACAGGGAAGATCTTGAACTGAATCTCTACCTCTCTTAGAGAGCCTGCAATTCTTCTTATAGACCAGATAGACCCAGAGTAATTGGCCGCAGTAGCTTATATTCAAAGCTAGAAGGGAAAATAAAATGCTGGGAGGCTCTGATCTGCTGTTTTAGCCTTTTCTATTACAGTCTTACTGAATCTGTTCATAGCAGCTAAAATGAGACGTGTCCCTTTATTTTAAATGTAATATCATGAAAATGAAAAACAAGTCTAGATTCAAAAGTTCTGGGAGAATGGATTCGCTGGTCACCACACACTTATATATTATCAATTGTAGCTACAAAGCTGACCTTTGTTGCAGCTCACAGAAGTAAGTGAGCTTCTGAAAGCTGAGACTGTTTCAAAGCTTAGACTGTTGTCACCATGAACTATTAATTAGGTGACTAACATTTTCTATATTCCACGCTGAGAGATGTATGACATGGTAGAGAGGCTGCAGAGATGACGAATGCACAGCCCTGTCCTCTAGGGCCTCACATCCTACCGGGGCATGCCAAGAGGTGTTTTGACTATTACTGGGTGAACCCACTGTTCTCACAGGCAGGAGCAGCAGAGATGCACGGCCCGCTAAGAGCTGTGCGCTGGGCGGGACACTGCTGGAGGCCTTCCTGGAAGCCCTTACAACACAGACAACTCTTAAGTGCATCTGAAACAATAAGACTTCGTGCACATGGCACGTGGTCCCAGGCTGGAGAAGACACGTGCAGCCGTGTGGAACTCTAATGGTGTCTTGCTCAGAGAAACTCAGGGTCACAAGTGGTCAGGTACAGAGGAATCAAGCATGGCCCAGAGGACAAGGCGGAAGGAACTGCCTGGTAGAGAACTCAGGTCCCTGCAGACAGGGCAGGGGAGGCGCCTGAGGGATTTTCCAGGGGGCAGGTCACAGTGCGCAGGTCTGGGCTTTAGAAAGGTCTTTTGGCAGAGTTATAACAAGCAAATTTTGAACAGTGGCAGTTTGACCACTGTGAGCAGGAAGGGGAGGTGCAGGATGTCGCCAGGTTCTGGGTGGAATTGGACTTGTTCATCAAGAATGCACTAGTGCATGAGCCGGTTTGGGTTTTGGAGGGTTACGGGTTCAGTTTAGATCCAGGTGGGTTTAAGGCGCTCTAGAAAGTCCAGGTAGAAAAGGCAAGGCTAGATCCTGAAGCTCGGGTCTGGACTGAAGATGAGGCCACAGTGGTTTTCTCTGATGCTGATGCCAGCGCATGTGGGCACAGCCAGGCAGTCTTGACACGGTCGTATGCTGTTTGCTCTTTCCCTGCTCTCCTCAGTCGGAGCTTTCACTTTGCAGAGTCCCCTGTTGCCAAGATGAGAGACTCCAGGCGCCTTCTGCTTCCATGTCAGTTCTATCAGAGACATAAAACATCGCATGTAAATTGTTCTGCCAGCATGAGCTGGAGTCACTATGTGTGTGCTTTTTGGTAGCTTTATTTTAAAACTTTACCCTTCCATTAAAATCATTTTAATACCAGCCTTAGAGAATTCCGTGGTATGACATCAAAACCAAACTTATTCATTTTTCATATCCATCCGCTTACAAAATACATAGGACACCAACAGGCTATTTCAGTATTATTAAACATAACAGTTTTGGGTGCCAACTGACATTTGTTAAAACTCCAGAAAACAGTTCTCCCCCAGGCCACCCTGCCCATATAGTCCTTGAGAGTTCACCCTATTCCCCCCTCCCAACTCCTCTGTATCCCAGTCTTTGTGATCACACAGTCACAGACCCCAAAATATCCAGGGCAGCTGTTGTGTGTTGTGACCTCCACCACTGAGGCGGTCACCCAGCACTACCTTGCTGACCTTGGCTGAGTGCAAGCCACCTCTGCCCAGAGGGACAGCTGCCCCTCCGGTATCTCAGCCTGATTGCCGGACTGCTTGGCTCCTTGGCTTGGTCATAGGCTTATGAACGACACATATACCAGAGTATGAATTTATGCAGCAAAGGATATTTCATTGAAAGCAGGTTTCAACACCCTAAGCAAAGAAAAAGTATTTGAAATTAAAATAAAAGTCATGTGCTGATTTACTTTGGGCAGCGGACAAAATAGTTAGACCTTTTTTCCAATTAAGTGAAAATCAAGATCAAGTTATAAATCCTTGTGAGAACAGGGATTTATAATAGAAATTTTGACAGATTACATGCCACAAATAGTGTGAATAGATGGCTTTACTTTAGTTGTGCTTTTTGATTGTGCTGGGTGGGGAAAACTTGCCACAGAGTGTAATTTTCTTCTAACCCTGAAACACTGAATTTATTTATCTTTGGGAGCCAGGGTTGGGGACTGGACAGCTTTGGAAGAATCCAGAAATATTTTTTTCCAAAACATTATAGGCACTGCATAAATTTGAACTGGTAATGCTGATTTTTTTTTTTAACTCAATTTTCAGATAGCAAAATTACTCAGTGGGAAGACCCAAGACTTCAGAACCCTGCGATCACTGGTCCGGTCAGTATTCTCAAGTTTCCATTCTCCTGTTTCACTTTCATTATAATATGCTGGTTGCCTCTAAACACATTTTTTTTATTTCTTCTTACCCTCGTGCCAGGGATGTACAGTCGTTGAGCAGTTTAACTTTGCTCTTAGCTGCTCCTTTTGGGAATTGGGGCGGGGGGGGGGAGTTGCAGCTGCATTTGCCTTTAAAAAAAAAAAGATTTCTTTATACATACAAGAGCTGGGATTATAGGCTAGAGATACGGGACAGGAGGAGGGGTGAGGTGAGAGGATTCACAGAGACAGAGTGGGGAGCAGAACAGGTGGATCTACTGAAATACACTGCTGAGGGGAGCAGTGGGAGATGCAGGAGAGGTCTGCCCCCATGTGGGTCACCTCTGGGGCAGGAGTCAAACTCATGCTGCAATGGCTGCAGATAGCTTCATAGTGCTGAGACTTAACCCTTTGTGCCACCAGCAAGGGTCTTCATTTGCCATTTTTATGGGACTTCCATTAAAAAGGAAAAGAAGGCCCTCCCTGATGGCGCAGTGGGTTAAAGCACAGCACTGAGAATCTAAAGCCACTTCTGCATGAGTTCCATCCCTGCCTGTCCCAGAGGTGACCACATAGCGTGGCAGACCTCTCCTGACCCGCCCGCTGCTCCCCTCAGCAGTGTACTTCGTCGATCTGCCTGTTCTGCTCCCCACTCTGTCTCTGGTGAAGCCTCTCGCCGCCTCTGAGCCTCTGGCCTGCACCCCAGTTCTGTACACATAAATAAATAAATCTTAAAATAAAAAAAAAAAAGGAAAAGAAAATCATTAACAAAATCAACTATCATATTTGTTTTCTTTATACATGCTTTATTGAATGGACAATAAGCCCCCACTCAGGCCCTGGGAACTACACCCCGCACCTTGAAGGGAGACAGGGAGATGTGGAACCCAAAGCAGGCCTTGGAATAGCTCTGTTCAGTCAGCCTCTGCCTTTTCTTCTCATCAACTTTACGATGAAATGACATTAAGCAAAGGAGTTATTTCAGGCCTGCTGCACAACCATCAAAATACCCTCACTTTATGTATGTCTGTGTCTGTGTGCCAATGATAAGTGTGTGGTATATGTGTATTTGTGTCATTTCACTAGGCCATGGGTAGTAAATGCATGCAAACAAAATCTAAACTATATTCTGAATCTTCCAGCTCTACACATCTATAAAAGTTGGGGTGAGGATGTAGCCAGTTTCCAGAGTTAAGGATCTTTAAGGATGGCAGAATTAAGGATCTTTAACTCAGTTAGCCCACTAGCTTTCTCAGAGTCTAGGTAGAAACACAGTGGGTCCTGCCTGAGGTGAGGTGTCTTCAAATAGAGCCCTGACAGTTTCTAAGAACAAGGGAGACCCCCACTGTCCTTCAGTATTATGACAGTCAGTGTAGACACTCGAGAATGGGGTACATGCCTCGCTTGGCGCTGGGCCTCTTGTCAGGCTTACAGGTGTGCAGGGAAGTCATTTGAGATGACAGGAAGTGTGCTGTGATCAGCAGAAGATAGGACATGTAAGAACCTTTTAAAAAGTGGAGGAACGACCCCACTCTGTCTCTGGTGAAGCCTCTCGCCGCCCCTGCACCTCTGGCCTGTACCCCAGTTCTGTATGCACAAATAAATAAATCTTTAAAAAAATTAAAAAGTGGAGGTTCAAAAGTAAATTTGTTATCTTGGGTGCCGAGCTAGAGGCCCACAGACATAGGTACAATAACATCAGGGCTTTAATCTGCTTCCGTTCAAATCGTTTTCGGATGCTAAAGATAAGTCCATTTGAAAAGGTAATAGTACTTTGTGCAAACCCACCTTCTGCTGACTGATGATGACATGCTAGATGCTGGATTGCTTATTGGATCTGCTCAGAGGCTCAGAGGCTTTGGTGGTATTTACAGTGAAGTGCTGGGTAAGACCTTGGTTAAAGCAGACAGTCAGCTCCTCTTTCTCCGTGTCGCTTAACAAACTTCTGCATTGCTACTCTTGTGGCGTCTTTTGATATATTCACAAACATAATAAGTTGTTAAATAGCATTTTCTCTTCTCTATCATGAGAAGCAAAGTGAATTCAAGAAACAGTGGACAGAGAACTTCTGAAATGATAACTCTAAAGCTTTTTTTCAAGTATTTCTATGGTTCATAGATTAGCTACTTTCTCTCACTTTGTCTTATTACTTTCCTGAGTTGATCGGTGGGATCCACCCAGTAGACACCTGAGTATAGGTAACGCCCTCTGTTTTCTGAAAGTCTTGTTCACTCTTTGTTTTTTTTTAATCATTCATGCTTCCTTAACTCACTGCCTTCTCCTGGGTTGGTAGAGTACTTTTTCTTTTTCTGTACTGACTTGGAGTTGTTTTTTCTGTTTTGATATGGTTCACATTAAGTTTTTTAAGCCAACATACTTACTGTCAAATTTCATCCCTCTGTCCCCTCCTCCTGGACAATATAGGTCTTCATGGACCTTGAATGTCATTCCTCCCATTACCATTTCCATTTTTCAGTGGCGTTTTAAAACAACCTTGTCTTAAAGCCTTCCAAATAGTCATTACACTTGCTCTTTTACTCCCCCCAAAAGTCAATACTTATTTAATTTTGCTTATATACAAACAAGTTTCTTTGCCCACCACTGGCTCTGGCACCCACTGTTTTCTAGGTTGTCTCCCTCTTGAGAAAGTGTAGACTCTAGTCCATAACTTGCAAGTGTGTTCAGTAGGTCAGCAGTGTCTGTCTCCTTCAGAAACGTGTTTAGTTTGGAGCCAAACTCAGTTGCTAGACATCTGCAGCACTGGGTGTGGGCACCATCCTCTGTGTTACTGTGAACCTGAGTTCTCAAAGCAGGGTGAGGATCTCTGCCCCCAAGCAGGCTCAAGGAGAGTCTGGAAGAGAGGACTTCTCCACTGCGTGAATTTAGCTGGTGACAGGGTCTTGTTTGACGGTTACGCCCTTCAGTATTCTTTCATGTCTTCTGTCTCTGTGAGAGTTAGTGAGAATTCTGTGGTCAATCCAGTTACCTTTTTTGGACTAGGAGTAAATCTTTTTTCTGCTGATTTTGAATTTTCTGATGTTCTGCAGTTTTACTGTCATGTGCTTTTTCTTGTTATTCTACTTTGGACTCCCTGTGATTTTTTTTTTTTTTTATGTGAAGACCATTTCTCTCATCCATTCTGAAAATTCTCAACAGTTACATCTTCATTGCATCTATCAGCAATTCCTGAGTTTCATTCACTTTTATGCTCTGCTTTCCTTGTCTCTTAGCTTTTCATATTTTCTGTCTCTCTTGTTACTATGTTGTGGGCTTAATTCAGTTCTTCCAGCTGATTCCTAAGCTTTTTATAATTTTTCATCCGTTCATTTTGTCTGTGATTTCAGTGGCTGTGTTTAATTACTCAAGGTTCTGTTTAGTATTTTTGAATGTGCTTGGTATTTGCAGTTATTATTTTTATGCACTGTTCCCCTCGCCCCTTTTTTTGGTACATACTTCCAACTGTTTAATTATTCTTAAAATAGCCTCTTCCAGATTATTCTGTTATCTCTGACTCTCGGGGCATGAAATGTCCCCTGCTGTAGATTGTCCTCAGTGGTGGTTTATTGCCTGGTGCAGAGAGAGAGAGTGAGTGAGTGTGTGTAGCACTCATCTTTTTTTTTTCTCTACAGGACTTTTTTTTAAGTCCTCACCTGTATTCCCTCCTGTTGACCTCCTAACCTGGGTGCCTACACCCCGATTAGTGTAACTATGGACCACATATCCACTTGGATGTAAGCTTGAGGTATAAATGTATACAGGCCTGTTTCTTTTGCTTTTCTCTCATTTATGGTCTGGAACAAAAGGGAAGCTTCCTTGCCCCTTCCTGGGCTGACATGTCACGTCTTCTAAGCCACTTCCCTCGGGCAGACACCTGTCCGGGTCTCCACTGAACACAAAAACCAAGCACTCCCCTAGGGGTCTACTGCCTGCTGACTCTAGTTTTGAGTTTTCCTGCTTATCTGGTACCTGGAGTTCTTCTCTCCTTTCCCAAAGTTTTCAAAATGGCTATGTATTAGGGGAGCAGAGACCCTTTCTGTAGCTGCCCTGAGACAGGTGTTGCTCAAGAACCTTTGCACTGATGAACACCGTCTCCTCTCTCCTCACTCTGTCCTTTTCTAAGAACTTTCTAATCAGCTGCTTTGAAGCCCCAGGAAGGCAAGGAAGATGATGTGATTGCTGATTTTTCAGAAGCACAAAAAGCTGGGTTGCCGAAAGTTACAAAAGAAATCAGAGCAGCAACTGCACTTGAGGTGTGCAGGCCCCAGGGTGTTGGCTGGACAGTAGTGACCAGTTCTGAGTGCAGAACCAGCCGATGTACTAAGTGAGGTTGCATTTTGCTTAAAAAAGAAAGCATAGTTAAGACAGGGCAAAGAGGCTCTGGCAGGTTTACTTTACAAGTTTAATTGCATGGAAGCACCATGCCAGATTGAACAATGCTGTTGGTCCTGTGCAAGGACTCTACCCCCACTTAATCCTCCTCAGAGACAGCTCTGTGTGGGGATCTTTTCCTGGTATATTGTTAAGTCTTTCAGGAGAATATGAATGCCTATTCTTCTTACTCCATTGTAAGAATTACTTCTAATGAGAAAAGATAAGTTTCCAAAGACGACAATGACTTCTCAATGTCCAGGCATCATTCCTCAGAAGAAGAAAGGCCAGAAACACCTCAGCCTTTTCCCCTCCCACAGCCAGTCAGCACCTGTGAGATGCAGTCAGACAATGGAGCAAAACTTTTAACTATATTCTGTGGGAAATTTGTCAGTATAGACAACTGAACCTGCATTCATACAAATTCAACATTCAAAATAATAAATGTCAAAGCTTTCTCTTTTTTTTTTTTTTTTTTTTTTTTTTGACATTCAGAAGAGTAACAAAAGCAAAGAATAGTTGCTGGGAACCATAGATTTCTAGAAATGGAAGAGTGTAAAAGCTTGCCCAGTCAAGTCCTTTTGCTTGGCAGTGAAGCAGTTCTGCAGAGGGAGGTGGTGTCTAGAGCTACCGGCACTGTCTGCTACAGAGTCAGGTGGAGAGCTGGCCTGAGATGACAAGGGGAAGCAGCTTTTTCAGCTCAGTTTGCCCTTCTCTAAGGACAGCAGGCAACACTAGAAACGTCACCCTCTATCCTGTCTTGGTTTGTTTCCCTTCAACTACTCTGGCTTCTGCCCAGATCTCCCTTCTGAGAGCTGGCGTCCCTGGTCACCTCACATAAAGTAACCCCCAGGAACTCTCTGTCATTTCTTCCCTCAGAGCATTCACTACTATTTATTTATTTTTTGCTCCCTGTTGCGCATAGTAGCTTGATGCTCCAGAAGGAACAGGGAAGGAATCTCTGATTGATGTGTCATCATTTCCCTAGCATCTAAAATGCCTGGCACCAAGCAGGTGCTTCGGAAATATCTGATGAATGACTCAGCAAATGAACCATTAGAGATTGAAGAAACTAGGTAGAATGTCTTGGTTTGTTAGGTGACAAGGTCAGAACATCCTTGTTCTTATTTTGGCATTTGTCTAAGACTGACAAAATTTCTACTTTTTCTGGCATCAGAATTCATATATGATTTTATTCTATTAAGCACAACCCCAAAATCAGTATGATATGTGGTCAAATCGAGTGTTCAGTGGAAAATAAAATGAAGGTTGGCTTAAAAATGAAGAACAGACCACAAGAGGAATAAATTGTCTTGAGAATGTTCTTAAGATGTGTAACTGTGATTTTGTTATTGGTCTTGAATACAAAGCAAATCACTGATGTGATCAGTGCTTTTTATTAGAAATTCTGTGTTTGTTTTATATAGTATTTGTGTGATCGTGTCTTAAAACGGGATGGAGACACAAGTTTTGTTCTTTCTCCTCTTTATGACTGGGAATAAGCAGATAAAGGCGTGAGGTTTGCAATCTAGGGACACTTCATTCAGGATCATTATACTTTTTTTTTTATAAAGACTTACTTACATATAAGAACTGAGGTACAAGCAGAGGTGCAGGGGGTGGCAGATTTCACTGGAGATAGAGTGGGGAGCAGAACAGGCAGATCCTCTGGAATCCACTACTGTGAGAAGCAGTGGGTGAGACAGGAGAGGTCTGCTGTGCCATATGGAGCACTCCCTGGTGGGGGATCGAACTCATGCTGCAGTGGCTGTGGGTAGCCTAATAGTTCTGTGCTTTAACCCGTAGCGCCACCAGGGAGGCCTATACTTTTTAACTTAGCCCAGAATGATACCAGCAGAAATACCCTTGCTCAATTCACACTATCTTCTAAAAAGTAATGAGTTGCTCTAAGTTTGCAGCTGTCACAGTTATGCCAAATATATGCAGAAGACAGTGCTTTGCTGCCCCAGGGGAAAAAAAAAAAAAAAAAAACATGGTCACCTGGTTTCAGGGCTCTGGAGCTAGAATATTGTAAGCTGCTTATACAATATAACAAAGAATATTAAATGAGTTTCTAGAATTTTGAATAATGATAATTCACTCTGTTATAGACCCCACTTTGTGTGGGTTTCCCCTTCTCTGCTTCATGGAGAAGGCATTCCAGATTGAACAAAGTCCTTGCTGGAAACCACTAAAAAGTCAAGGGGCAAATTTTCTGACTCCTAAATTGCAGACTTTTCCAGAATGCTAATTTTATAACCCTTGACTAGAATATCAGTTCACTTGTCTTTCTGCTCATATTTCCTCTGAAAGGCGTGTGTGTGTGTGTGTGTGTGTGTGTGTGTGTGTGTTGAACTGGGGTGTTGGCCAGAGGTGTGGGAGGAGTAAGGGGATTTACTAGAGACAGAGTGAGGAGCAGAACAGGTGAATTTACTGAAATATACGACTAAGGGGAGCAGAGAAGTCTGCTGTGCCACAGGTGGGTTAGCAGCTTGGCATAGGATCGAATTCCAGCCGTAGCAGTGACAGCACTATGACCTAACACTTAGGCCACCAGGGAGGCCGCAAAAGATTTTTAAGGTATGAAGAATCTTCCCAAGGCCCGTGTAGGTCATGTGGTGCGGTGTGTTACATTCTAACAGCCAATAACTAAACTGCAAAGTTTTTTTTTAATTTACATATGATTCATATTCAGACTAAAGTCACATGGAAAGTATCGTCAGTTAATTTGTGTGGCATATCCCTAAATGATTCCTTGGAAATCCCTATAGTCATTTCAAGGCGTGAAAGCACCACCAGTGCCGGCAAGCCTTCGTCATTTCTAGAGTTTTCTCAAGTACTATGTAGATATTACACAGTCATCGTATGGAAAGTGAGAACTTTAAGGTGTATGTCTCATAAAATTGTCTGAATGTTGGTTCAGAATACATAAAATTTTAAGTGTATGGTTAACATCCATCTACATGTATAAATGTATCTTACAGGCTGTTCCTTACTCCAGAGAATTTAAGCAGAAATATGACTACTTTAGGAAGAAATTAAAGAAACCGGTGAGTAACACATCTTCCTAAAATGCCACTTTTAAGTCATTTGTAAATTACCAGACAGGAAGACCAACTTGATTGTTCTTTGATACGTTCACTGAAAACTTTACCTTCCTTTTATCACTGTGCTTTGGTCCATCTGAATCTTTAATCTGAATTTTCTTTTTTACCTATAAGGTGAGTGAAGATCAACTTAGTATAACATATCAAATGACCTGAAAGGTCATTTCTTCTGTAACATATAAAGCATGACACCATTTTTATGGGATATATATAATTTGAGACTTAGTCAAAAAATTCTGGAGAAGCCCATCTAATTGCTATGGTTACTGGAGTCCATGAAACCTAGATCCTGGTTAGAAAATGCCCAGTCCTCCCCTTTAAATTCAAAAGTGTAGTTTCAATTACAGTAGTTAGAATGCAGACACCTTTTCCAGTATCTAACTATAGTACTGGGCATGTTAGGACCAAGTGTGATTTTTCTGATTGTAATTCTCACTGGGAAACCCTCAAGGTTTCTCCGAGGCAGTGCTTTAATCACAACAGCCTCTACTCGCATCTCCTCACGTCTCCAGTGTGCATCTTCTGTTTCAACTTCTGGCTTTATTCCAGTGCGGGTTTTACCAGTCTTTGCCTCACTTTGCACGTTCCCTGTTGTTACACTGGCCCCACTTCTTGGCTGCTGCCCTCCAGGATGGGAGATGTCAGCTGCCCCCTGGTCGTCTCCGCTGCCTGTATCTGGCCACTGTCTCTCCTGGCTCCAGTCCCTCCAATACTGACTTTTGGGGCTCTCCTCCAGACGAGACTTTGAGGGGTACAGGAAGGCCTTGGCAACTCCCATTTAGTGGATTTTTTTACTTCCAGCACCCGGTTATAAGGCCCTTGGATAACCACTAAGAAGCGAGTCATGTTCGACACCTAAAATCCGTGGTGTTTCTTTGCTAATCTCCTGCCTCTTCCCAATTACATTGGGACATTGTAGTTACCACCCCGGCTCTCTTCTTTCATGGTTTAATACCTGTGGCTCCAGCATGCCCTCCCACAACACAAAAAGCAGAGCCCGGCTCCGCTGGCAACAGTTAGCTGTGCACGCTTGTGGTGCCGCCTGCCAGCTGGAGTGGCTGCCGGAGAGGAGAAAGCCCATAACCCGGCCAGGTGGGGCAGCTGACGGATTTTGCTTACCTGGACTTTCTTTGCCTGGAACGTGTAGCTGGCTACCTTTCAGTTGCCAGTGAGCGAGCTCTGTGCCATGGTGGTTTAGAGAGATGACCATCACCTGCTGCTCAGTTTCTTGCAGCGCATGTGGCTGGCAGGGTCCTACAGCTGCTGGTGGGGTGCAGTGTGCCTCAAGCCCTAAGGGTGAGGCTTTCCTCTTTGTGAAGAAAAGCCCACAAAGGAGAGGTCCACTTGTCCACAACACGTCTATTTCAGCTTGCCACCATCCCTGCTTTTTGTTGTTTTTGTGCTGGGAAGTATGCGTGTTGGGAGTGACCAAATGTGGAGATTTACTGAGGGACCGGATAAGGGCAGTAAGAAATCTGGCCTTGCATCCAAAGGTGATAAGGCGGTAATAAATTGTGGGCCTTGCATCCAATTAACGGGGTCTTGCATCGGCAATGGGACTAGATGAAGGTGATAACGAACTGGGCCTTACATCAAGGGACATAGCGATTAATCACCTCTTTGGAATTCAAGTTTTAAACCTATATAAGAGACCCTTCCCCCCTATAAGGGTGGCAGTAGCTGCGGACCCTACTCTTGGGCTCTGTCTCAGCTGCTGTCCAAGAGCAATAAATTGTTTGCTCAACCTCTCTGCCTTTCATCTTTCTTTCCCGCGGCCGGTCACAGAAGTTGGGGCAAAACAGTGCCCATTTACTGTACAGTTATGTACCTTTTTCCTTCTTTTGTGTAGGCTGATATTCCAAACAGATTTGAAATGAAACTTCACAGGAATAACATATTTGAAGAATCCTACCGGAGAATCATGTCTGTGAAGAGACCAGATGTCCTGAAAGCTCGACTGTGGATTGAATTCGAATCAGAAAAGGGTCTTGACTACGGGGGCGTGGCCAGAGAATGGTTCTTTCTGCTGTCCAAGGAAATGTTCAACCCCTACTACGGCCTCTTTGAGTACTCAGCAACGTGAGTGTGCCAGGCGCTCTGTGATGTACCCCCTTCCCCCACCAAGGGGGGCTTAGTGATTTCAAGCTTAATGAAGGGTTCAGTCATTTGAGACAAACTAACAGAGCTGATTTTAGACCCTAAGCCCCACCCCTTGTAAGTCTAGAAGTTTCTGACCCTATGTGGTTGAAGTGATGTACTCTGTGGTGCTTAAGTTGAAAATGAGCTAGGTGCTTACAAGAGGTAGCGTCCATGTGTGATGTTAATGCAGGAGAATTTGTCAGTGTCAGACTTCAGGAAGTCATCCTCGTCTTGAGCAAGAGTAGTTTCAGGTTCTTCAACTCAGGGCCAGTGATAAAGACAGGACCCACCGTGCTTCAGAACCCAAAGGAGCATGCCTGAGTCCTGCAAAGCTCAAACCCGTTCCCTTTGCATTTGGGCTTCATCATTGCCAGGCATGGAACCTGAGGCATATTCAGCTGTTTCTCAGAAATCGAACACTGGCCACCTATGCGGCCACCATTCATCCTCTGGCCTATGAACCCTCCGAAGGCTTAGGCTGGCCCTCAGATCCCTGTAGAAGAGTGTTGATCTTGTTGCTACACAACCCTGTGCTCTAAGAGCAGACAGGCCCCACACACACACACACACATCTTCCACCTGCTATCAGTGTCCTTGGGGCACTGGGAAAGCAGCCTCAGCACATCCTTCTTGGTGGTTCTAACTAAGAATCGCCCAGTTTGCTACTGAGTCCCATGGGAAAGCCCGCTGGGAAAACTGATAAAACCATGGGGGTGGGGGGCGTGGGGTGGGGAGTAGGCAGGGTAGCAAGGAAAGATGCCCAGTCACCCACATTCATAAAGATGCCCCCAGAGAAATCTGTCTGTGGGGCCCTACTTGAAAACCACTGAGCTTCATGACTTTGAGACCAACGGGAGGATTAGGTCCACGTCAGCATCTGGAGACTTGCGTTATGGACCCAGCCACACCTGTCCCCTGGCCCTTTCCAGACGGGGTAATGGTTGGGCCCAGGAGAAATCTTCATCCTCAAAGCAAAAGCTGCTTAAAAGAATTAACCCTCCAGCTCACAGAGATAGCCCCAAGGACTTACACCAGTGGGGGCCAGGCTCTGCCCCCTCCACATGAGGTGGGGTCAAATACCTCACATAAGATATTTGAAGGAACCATGTGATATAGACATGTCTGTCGATCAAAAATAGTCCAGTATTAGCAGCTTCTGATCGTTGAAGCTACAGAGGGCATAGATGGTGGCCGGTCATCAAAAGGGGGACCTACGTGGTGAGTCCTGCCCCCAGGCTCTCCTCTCCCAAAGGTGCAGTGCATCGCAGGTGCACAGAGCTAGGTGACAGGCAGCAAGGCTAAGCTCACATTCTTGCATTTCTTATTTAAAAATTGATGGGGCTTTTTTTTTTTCACTCTCTTGCAGAGACAACTACACGCTTCAGATCAATCCCAATTCAGGCTTGTGCAATGAGGACCACCTGTCCTATTTCACATTCATCGGAAGAGTCGCTGGTCTGGCAGTATTTCACGGGAAGCTTCTCGATGGTAAGTTATCGAAGTGATGAACAGGGCTAGTTCTGTGTGTGGCTTCTGGTGAGGTGCCCACACTTCATCGCAGACCTGACTCAGAGCATCGCGGTTTCTCGTTAATTCAGTCTATTGTTTTCATGTTTTACCCACCACGGAGGCACTTTTTCCTGGTGCCATCTTAATTTGAGCACTAAAGACATAGTGTCTACACAGTTTAAAACAGTTTTATTTTTTTTTAAAAAAATAGTGTGAAGCACAGAACATTCTGTATTTGTGCCTTTTCTGTGTTTCCCAGACTATTCTTTAGCGGCAGCTAGATTTGGTGACAGATGGAAAAGCTAATTGGAAAGTTAATTGAAATGATCTAAATCTATCCATTATCCTGCCATTGTCTCATTTGTGCTCACATTATACTTTTTTAAAAATGTGAAGAGACTGAAAATAATTTCAGATTAACATTCCAACTCCTCTAAGACCGTGACCCTGGGATCACAGCTGGGCCAGTGGCACCAAATACCCTCATTCTTACTGAGAGCACGTGACACGTGGATAAATTTCTAGGTGTGTTAAGGTAGAAGTCAAACCTCCTTCCGGGGGTTTTATCTCTCACCTTAAAATACCAACTTCTGCTAGATCTGGACATTTTAAAAATATAGTTGACCTTTCAACAATGCAAATGTTGGGGGAACCACCCACCCCACACAAACAGTTGAAAACCCACATATAACTCTTGATTCCCGCAAAGCTTCACTGCTACATAGCCTCCTGTTGATGAGAAGAAGCCTCGCTGAAGACACAGTCAGTTAACATGTTTTAGTTCTTTAAAAGATTTATTTGTTTATGTATACAGGAGCTGGGGTATTGGCCAGAGGTGTGGGGGCTGAGGATTCATCAGAGATAGAGTGAGGAGCAGAACAGGAGGAAACACTGAAATACACTGTTGAGGGGAGCAGTGGGCAAAGCAGGAGAGGTCTGCAGCTCCATGTGGGTCCGCTCCCTGGCCGGGGATCGAACTCGTGCTGCAGTGGCTGCCAATAGCTTTAGGTACGGAGACTTATAATCCCTTGCATCACCAGGAAGACCCTTACCATATGTTTCATATGTAAAAATGTATCATATATTGTTGTCTTCTGATAGAACAAACTAGAGAAAACAGTAAGGAAAATCAAAATAAAGGTACAGTGTTGCTGCAGACACATGTGTTTGTGAGGATGTGTAAGTGGGTTTGGACAGTTCAAGCCCTGTTGTTCAAAGGTCAGCAACAACTGCCCTGAAGATACAGGAGTCATCTGTGAGGGAAGAGAACCAGAAATATCTTTGAAGAATCTTGGGGCGAGATGGTTGAGGATGGAAGATTTGAGGCTGGCATTACAATTACTGTAGAGATTTCTGGGGGCATTTTGTTCACCACATTTATGGAACCTCAGTGGGTCTGATAAATATTTGATGTGCTCTTTTCCTTTAATGTATTTTTACTGGTATTTGCTAGCTCTAATTTCAATATTTTATTTCTGCCAGGGCAGTAAACACTTATTTCTAACTGGGAGGACACTCCACCCCCGTCTTTGTCTAGTGTGGCTATATATTAATTCACCACATTGGGGTCATGTCAGGGCTTACTTTGGCCTGTTCGGAGTTACTTCAGCCTCCCTAGAGGATCAGTTCATTTTCCTTCAGCCCCTGTGCTGGCCCTCTGCTCGAACCGCCCTCCTCCCCCACTCACCTGCCTGTTTATGCTGTGAAGTCCTGCCTGGCCTGGAAGCGCATATCACTCCCAGGAAGTCTTTCGTCCCCTTCCTGCACGGGTGTCTTTGAGTGTCACTGCCATTCTAACTAACCCCCCAACCAAGGAAAAACACACACCCTCGTCTTCTTACTCTGCACAGGCATCACAGGGGAGGCCGATGCTCTGTCTGGGTCTCTGTTCACCCTGAAGACAGGTTCAGCTTTTAGGTAGAAAACAGAGAAAAAATATGCCGTGGCTTTTCCAGCGACCCAGTATTTTGTTTCCGATGCGCAGCCATCTCAACACTTGAAACCCATTGCTTTTCGCCATATTGTAGGTTTCTTCATTAGACCGTTTTACAAGATGATGTTGGGGAAGCAAATAACGCTGAATGACATGGAGTCCGTGGTGAGTAACACCTGCGCGGGCATCTCGGCCATCGTGAGGCACCCAGGTGGTAGTCACAGCGACGGTGACGGGGGGGGGGGGTTACATTCAGCCAACAGATGCTAGCAGGTGCTCCTGGCATCTCTTGCTGAATGTAATATCTCAGGGAGTTCATCGGGCCCCTGACTTCTCTAAGAAGCTGTTGTCATATTACACCAGGGGCGTCCGGAGGCCACATGACCACTGGTTTCCCATCAAAAACTGCTGATACCAGCTGGTCAGAGAGTCACCTGCCATCCTCACTTTCTGACCTTGAAAAACCTGTCAGATACAGGTCACAAAGTTAATAAAGGGGAGAGTGGTTGCAGTCACCTAGACGTGAAGGTGCTGTGGCCTCTGATACAGGAAAGGAAGAAACTCCTTCGGGAATGGCCATGGGGAGAAGTCCCCAGAAGGCAGGGGGTGCTCAGCTTGCACTTTACAGGCAGGCCCTGGGCTGTAACTACGAAAATTGACACTTTCTGATGAGTTTGTATGGGACGAAGGCTTCATTTTAACGTCTGTGTCATTTTACAGGACAGTGAATATTACAACTCTTTGAAATGGATCTTAGAAAACGACCCTACTGAGCTGGACCTAATGTTCTGCATCGATGAAGAAAACTTCGGGCAGGTATGTGTGGGTCGCGGCAGCCCTGCTTCCACTGGCCTTTGCTCGCTCACAGGCTGGAACACGATTTGGCTGGCACGTCAGAAACAAGCACCTGGAGCTTTAGATGTTAATTATCAGCAAATCAGCGCTCCCTGTCAGGCTGGGGACCCTAGGCCCCACCCCACTCTCCGCTTCTTCAAAAGCACAGCAATTCTAAAGTCTCTGGGCTGCCACCCAGTGCCTGCCTCAAATCTAAAGTAAATCTGAATGTGAGTGATGTTTCTGCCTTGGTTTTAAGACTTTTTAAGTGCTTCAAAAACAAGTGTGGTTGTTTGCTTAGTGAGGCACATGCAAGGCTATGAGTGAGTGACGTTTTTTAAGGGACTTTGGGTTTTCTTCTCTACTTTCCAGTGTGGCCATCGTGAGGAAACATCTTGGGGGGGTTCAGCAAGCTTGGGTGTTCTAGCATCTCTTCTTGCTTTGCAACGGCACTTGTCATTAGTCTGGATTCTTCATACAGGTCAAGTTCAAAGATAGCAGTTATTGCTTGAAATTTCCGCCACCTTAAAGTCTTCCCAGATGTGTTTGTTAAATCCACCCTTTGGATCCTTTGTCCCCAGTATAATGATGCTTCTTAGGAGATCTGATCAGGGATCACCCCGCCTGGTACCTGCCCTGCCATTAAAGCTCTGGCCCCACCTCCCAGATCAGACCTAACAGCCTTGATGTGAGTGAGCTTGCGAACCCCATTGAAAGGGTCGCCCTAGAGAAAATGAGATTGAGTTTTTTCCTCATTGGAGATTTTCAAGTCAAGAAGATGCATACATGGCTTTGGTTGTGCCACGGTACCATGCTTTATTCAGGTGAAGCTTGGAGGTCAGAACCCTGGCCTCCTGATTTCAGAGTCCTGGGGAGAAGCAGCAGAAGCCACTCCATAGAGGCCTCAGTGAGAACTGGACAAATGCTGTTAAACACAAAAATGACCCCAGAGAGATCAGCATAGCTTTGTATTTATGTTGGAGCCAGGAAGCGCCTCTAGTGTGGGTCCTGGGTAGGTGGGCTGGACCAGATTGGCCCTCAGCTGGCTGGGTGAAGATGCAGATCTGTCTCCCATGCTGGTTTCTCGGCTGCCGCTGGAGCAGCCTCCCTGGCTCTCAGGCTGCTCCCTTTCCTGCCTGTCCTCTGATGCCCTCACATTATGCTCTGTATGTCATGTCTCAAAAAGCAAACTTGAACTTGGAATTTTCCTGTTCAGACACACATTCTCCACTGACCGTCTTGTAACCTTCAGTGAAAATTCAGACCTTTTTAACCTGGTGTGTGAGCTGTGACCTTATCATTTGACACCCCCATATTCTTACCTCACAGCCTAATTGCACCTCACATGGTTCCAGGACACCCCCAACCCTTGCGGTTGGTGCCACCTGGATCAAACAGGGCAGATGAGAAGGGTGCTCATCTCGTTTTATATATATATATATATATATATATATATATATGCACGAGCTGGGGTACAGGCCAGAGGTGAGGGATGGGAGTGAGGATACAGGCAGATGTACTGATATACTGATGGGAGGTGTCCCCAGAGACAGAGTGGGGAACAGAACAGGCAGATGGACTGAAATCCACTGCTGAGGGGAGCAGCGGGTGGGTCAGAAGTCTACCGCACCAAGTGTGTCACTCCCTGGCCGGGGATTAGACTTGTGCTATGGTGGCTGCAGATATATTCACAGTGTTGTGCTGTTCTAACCCCTTGTGAAGGCCACTAGGGAGGCCCCCTCACGTCGTTTTTTAAAATGCTGATAATTTTGTAAGTGATAGAAACTACTAGTATAAAAAAATCAAAATACATTGAGTTACATTACTTCTTTATAAACTAGATCTATGGAAAGGTCTTACAGGTCAGTTCTAAAAGGGGGACACGTGGCTGACCCTGGAACCCTGTCTTCCTTTCATTTTTACTCAAGGAAGGAGTTGAAAAATAAAGAGCCAGGAGGGCTTCAAACCACTTGAGTATCAAAGGCATCAAAAGGCCTCTGTAGGTGTCACACTAGGGAAAACCACATGACTCAAGAAGTCAGCAGTGCGAGTGCAGCCGTGAGCTGGGCGCCCCCGAGTTACATGTTTCCACTTAAAAGATGCAAACGACGCAAGATGTTTGGGTGTGCAAGTCGACTTCCAATAAAGACACCGATGATCAGTATAAATCGTGTCAATTATGCATTCGGAACACTGCTCAAACCTCCTTTCTTGCTGTGGATTTTTCTGCCTTTTGGATTGAATCAGGTAGACTTGGGAATAATCAAAACAGACCCATGATGAGTAAGGTAATGATTAGGTGGCTTATTTATTAAACTACTGCCTTCCCTTTTTAGAGTGCTAACCCGATTAACAGGGATCTCATGTGTCCATTTTGCATTCTGGGAAGAAATTCAAATTGAATTAAGCAGCCGCGGGTTGATCTCTTCTCCATAGCCAGCGCCTCACCATACCTGCTGATGTGGACCCCCGAATGTCCCTCAAACCTGTCTGTTGCACCACCAACCCCCAAGTCTGGCTACTGTTTTCTCTCTCAGACTCGGACTCCTACGTAGTCTCTTTATTCCCACCGTGGCCTCCCATAGTGGCACAGTGGCCTGTTCTAAATGCACAAAGCTTGATGTCATTCTTCTGCCCAAAAAAACTCAGACTTTACAGTCCCCTTGGGAAGACCCAGAGTCTTCATTTGTCCCGTGGGGTCGTGTGGCCTCTTCCCACCTATCCAGCTCCAGCCGTGATTTGCATCGCAGAGTGGCCCTCACGCTTGTGGGAACAGGTCCCACCAGACTGCTTGCTGCTTGTGCATACCAGCTCCATCCTCCTCGGGACCTTGGTTCCTGCTGTTCTTGTGTTGGGAGCACTTCTTGCACCCTCAGGCTAGTCACCCCTGCTCCAGGAGCCCCCAGGCAGGCCATATACTTGAGGGGCGTCTCTCCTGTCTGCTGGGGTGCATTTCTTGGTGTGACTGTGCTCTAGCATCTGCATGTCCCACTGGCTCCATCTGGGCGGTGGTGGCGTGGGGGCTGCCTTTCCCTCCCCGCTGTGTACTCTCCACTTGGCACAGTGTCTGGAACAGGCCGGTCACTCAAAATAGAGTTGTTGGACCCAAACTGTGGGCCTCCAGAAGATGCCTCTGCAAGCCTCTCGCCTCTTTCCACCTCTGCAGCACTGCTGACTGCATTGCAGTTTATTCTCGCCCAGGTCTCCCTCCAGCAAAAGGTAGAAGTCGTTTCTTGAATGGGTGAAGCTACTACAGAGTGGAAGTATGGACGCAGCCTGGTGCCCTCTGTGCTATGAGCCATTTACTTGCTCTCCACAATTAGAAATCTCAGGCCATGGAATGGGGGGGCAGCTGTCACTTCGTGTCATGACACTGCGGCTGCTGCCATTATTTTGTGATTTGTTCTCTGGTTGGTGCGAATCTGGAGCTGCTGATTTCTGGGGCCCACTGTGACTGTTTCGAGGGAACAGATTGCAGTAGTTGTATGACCCCATAGGCCCGGAGACAGAATCGGCTGCACCCCTGTGCCCTCATGTGCGTGCACATGCCCGCTCGCCACCACCACCGGGAAGAGACCCCCTTGTGGAGCACAGCTAGCTGAAATTCTTAATTACAGGTTCACAGCAGCAGCATGTGCCACGGGGTATCTGAAATGAGAACGTGTGCAAAACATGGAGAAGAGCGCCCGCTCTAGAGGCCTTGGCCAGGCAGGTGGGCAGGCCGAGAAGTTTATCTGTGGGGAGTGGAATGTTCCCCATAAAAGAGCCAGAGCTTTGCGGCAAATGAACTTGGACTTGACCCACCCCCTCTTCACTGCTGAGCCTCACTCCTGTGGAAATGGAGGGACAGACAGCTTGCTGGAGCCTGACACTCGGCAAGAGCTTAGAAAGTGAATCTCAGTAGCAGCCTCACCATCCCCCAAAATGGTGTCTGTGAAGAGCCCCAGAAGGACAGAGCCCACACCCCTGAAAGCCTGGCCCGAAGGCCAGCAACGCCCCAGGGCTCAGGGGCCAGGCTTAGCTTCCTCCCCTGCCTGCCCTTCCGGCTCCTCCTGTGCTCCAGGCCCCTGAGGGCTTGACCCTCACTTAGCACAGTAGCATGCCCCTTTCTTTCAAAAACAACTTTTAAATTTGTCCTGATTATAAAAGATTAATCTTTGTCACAAAAGTACAAGCAGTGCCATAAAAATCATCCACAGGCCCTGTCACTGGGAAAGAAGCATCACACCCTCTTATGTGTTAGAGAATTCTTCTTGGTCACACACACGTACCTGGCTTTCCTTTTGCAGACATGGGAATGTACAGTGCATGTGGTTCTGCTACATGGTGACCTTCCCATGTCCACAATACAGATGTGTGCAGGTTCCATGGCTGCACAGAATTCCCCTGCAGCCACCGTTGTTTTGAGACCTCTTGTAGGCCTTTAGGCTATTCCAGTATTTCACTCTATAAATGGTATAGTGAATACAATCTTAGAATATATAGTTTATACTCTTTTTTAAAAAAAAAAAAAAAGGTTTATTTATGCCTACAAGAACTAGCCAACCAACTTGTTCCCTTGGTATAAATTCTAAAAGTGGAATTATTATGAAAAGGAATATACACACGAAAATGTTGTTGCCTGGTGCCAAATTATCACCCGAAAAGGCTGAACCAATTAGACTCCCATCAGCAGTGTAGATAAAACCATTGCTCTCTAGCTCTTTCGTCTCTGTTTGCCACCTTGGACGCATTCATGGTTTTGTTTGTCTCCCTTCCCCTTCTCACCCTCTCTCATCTGTAGTTCACTCTCTCAGTCAATAATAACTCTCTGGAAATTGCATCTCTCTGAAAATAAAACCCCTTTTACTGTAGCTGAACCGTGCTAAATGCATTCTCAATACCAAGAATGGGGTTGAATTTATTAACATGCTGTTGGTGAGAGTCTGATAGAGGATTCCATTACGATCGAGAGTAGCAAAACACTTTGAGGAAGAATAAGTCGAGGGGAAGCCACCACGAGCCTATTAAAAGCACAAAGGCATACAACTGTCCACCAACCTCCCAGTAACTAGGGAGGAACTGAAATGTTTCAGTAGGAAAAACACCCCACCCTGCCTGCTGAGCAAAACGGCCTCACATGCCCAGAGAATGGCATGGCCTGTATAGAGGACTGTGGAGCCGATAACCCCCAAACGGGGCTGAGATGGAAAGACAGAAACAGAAATGGGGAGATGGAGCGCCGGGAAGGACTGGGGGAAACAAAGGCCAGTACCCAAGACAGTGAAGAGTTGACTTGACAGTGTGAGAACAGTTCAGTCACGTGGTGGGAAAAGCAGGTTCTTTCCCAAATAAAGCAGAGGGTAAAAAGAGAAAAATGTTAGGAGGACTAGAGCGAGGATGGCCGTGGCGAGTGGAAAGGCCGTCTCAGGCCAGAGAAGCAGCGGCCAAGCGCTTGAACAGAGAAGGGGCCAGGAGAAAGATGGGTGGGGATGGGGTGGGGGTGTAGGGCACAGAGGCGCTGTCTGTCTAGGGGGGTGGGGGGTGGCAGGGTAGAGAGAGGGCCCAGAGCAGACTTCAGCCTGGACCCTTGAGAGAGATGCAACCCGGGAACTTGTTCTGGAAGCCCTTCTCCCTGAGGTCTCCCTGACTGGGGATGGAGAAAAAGAGAGAATCCCAGCAAGAGACCCAGGTGATTATTATCTCTGGGTAGCGGGTCTAGGTGGTTTTTTTCCATTTCAACATTTCTAGAGATTTTACTTGTAAAGTAGTGAGGCTTCTCTGTCCCTTGCCTTCTGCCAGCTCTTGCTTTAAGGCATGATGAGACCTACTCTGGTGTCTCTCTCTGCCCCAGGCCCCGCAGAGGAGGCTGTTGAGAACAGGCTGCAGGAAGGGCCTCACAGTGGCGACGGCGCTCCGAGGTCTGGCTGCTTAAACAGCTTTTTTTTTTTCTTAACTCTCCCATTTGCCTCCTTTTTTATGATCCTAAAATCTAATTTTCAGAAAACAAGTAAAATGCATTAGAATCTGGAGCTCTATGGTCTCTATGGTGCCCTGTTCTTTAGTGGTTGCTATTCAGCATAATTAATTCCTTGATAAATGCATAGCAGATAAAAAAAAACTATTACTCTTCTCCATGTGGCTAATAGATGAAGAATGATTACAACTCATAAATAACCATTAAATAATTTGCCTTCAGTGATAGCATCTTTAAATGTGGAACATCTGAACCACTTTACAGGCTTGTTAGACGTTCTCTAGTACACAGAGCCCCTGTGCCGGGAGAGATTTCTGAACACATTGAGAAGGAGACATTACTACTCAGTACTGAGAGCAGAATAACTTCGCGATGATGATCGTTATTTTATCTTTGTAATTACAGACTTATCAAGTGGATCTGAAGCCCAATGGATCAGAAATCATGGTCACCAATGAAAACAAAAGAGAATATATTGAGTATGTTTGCACTCATTTACGCTCTGACTCCACGGGACAGTAGATTGACAGGTCCCTGTCGTGGACACTTTGGCAAGGATGCGAGCTCCTTTCTGGCCAATAGGAAGGCGACTTCAGGGATGAGCACTGTGACTTTTGTACGACTTTGCCTAGCTGCCCTGGGGAGGAGCAGTGTCAGGAGGAGAGGGAGGAGGTCTGTGTTACCGGGTAAAATGGCCAACTGTCTGTGGCCAGCTAGCTTAAAACTGAGTCACTCCACCGGCTGCCAGTGTTAGCGAACCCTGGGGTGAAATTCAGCACAACCACCAATGAGATCATTCATCTCTCTCCTGACCTTTCTGTCAAGAAAATAGCTGAAACGAAGTGGGGAACTCTGATGGCATCCCAGGGTGGTTCACATGGGTGGAAGACCTTTCTCTGGGGCCTGGCACATTTTCTTGTCTGATAGTGTGCGGCTCCAATGTGCATTCTGGGCCAAGCGTGACAGGCCTCGCCAGCCCGGGTGCCAGGTGAGGCAAAGGGGCTTCTCTCTGGCTCTCCATTAGACTGTGCCCCTTGTCAGAAACCAGTGCTCCATTCCGCTCATAGGGCCCCTCCTCTCTGCTCACCTTCACTGGTCAGAGGCCTTGGGATTAGTGGGCCAGGGTCTCGGCCTACCCCTGTGATCAGCCAAGGAGCATCTACTGCCCTCCCTCATAAGGAACAAGGGAGGTGTTGGGGTCTCCACTTCGAGACCCTCGAAAACCTGGACTGTTATTACAGAGCAGATGACCCTCTCCCCTTGGGAAGTACAGGCTTTAGTACACGTTTAGAGCCACCCCAGGCCAGGGGGTCAGGGCCGAAAGACTGAAGACCTGTGTGATATGTGTTGGGTGTCACTCTTTGCAGTAAATTCTTCCAGATAGCAGATTCGTGGGGTGGGGTCAGGCAATTTCAGCCACTCTGATAAAAGGGTGGTTGGACTCTCAGCTGCTCCCGAGCGGGTTTTCCCCATGCACACAGCAGCCTCACAGAGCTGACAGCTGCGCAAAGCTCAGCAAAGGCTGATGGGGTGAGCCACACAGCCTGGTCCTCAAGGCCCGTTGCCATGGCACCACATCTGGGTGAGGCCTCTGTGATGAGCAACTTGTGCATCTCAAGGCAAAAAGCCTTACATGGAATCGAAGTGAATTCTCTGGCAGTCAGATCTACTGGTGCACTGAGTGTTACCACAGGAAAAATGGTCTCTGTGGGGCTGTTATGTAAAGAGGACTTAGCATTTCTCCTCCAGTTTTTGGTATGAAAGTATTAGTGTAGGCATTTTGCTGATAGATACGTCAGTGTTGAGAGTCTGTATTCAAGAATGAGATGTCAGGTGACAACATGTACTGGGTACTCCTTTAAAAATGTACTTACCTGTTCATACAGGTATGGGGGGCTGCCCTCTGGCCTTTTCTCTTTTCTCCAGTAGTCACCTTTACACCCTAACTTTGATCCAGTAAACATGACTGGAAGGAGAAGAGGGGACGAAAGCAGTTCGTCTTTTGAAATCCTCTGGGATTTTAGGTTTTGCACATGTTCTTGAAAGAACTGATGACGAAGCGCAGTGGTGAGACACAGTCGCAGCTGTGAGCTCAGAAGTGAGCCCTGGTACAATGAGATGGTCACATACGGGTCCTCTCTCCCACAGCCTGGTCATCCAGTGGCGATTCGTGAACAGGGTCCAGAAGCAGATGAACGCCTTCCTGGAGGTGGGTGAGCCCCCGGGACTCAGCCCGCACCCACCGGCCCAGGGCGCGGGGTCAGCTTCCCCTTGGGTGGTGGTGGAGGTGCTCACACTCGCGGAACAGTACCCCAACAGTGGCTGTGGCTGCTCTTCGGTCCTCTGTTTTGGTTTTGCTCAGCGTTCTTTAGCTTTGCTGCTCTTATGTTTGTAAAGAGAACTCTTTACAGACTTAGCCCAGAAGTGCAAACCCCCTCCCACTCCCTCCGGAGCCCAAATCACTGCCCCGTGGTTTCTGGGGGGGGAACCCAGGGAACAGCCGGAAGAGGAAGTGCTGGGGGAAAGGCCCTGGGGGGTGAACAGCCTGAAAGACGGCTCCCAGCCCGCAGCAGCACCTGCCCTCTGCACGCTGACTATTGTTTTTATTCCCTCCCCTTCATGCCCGCCCTCCTCACAGACGTCACTCTGCACAGGTCCACGTCAGACCCATATTTGTAACCTGGGTTTTCTCAGATACTAAGGCCCCTCGTGCTGGCACTGTTAAGGGAAAAGCAGACACTTCCCAATCCTAGCGTGTCACGTCACTGACACACCCAGGCCCGAGTGGAGGATGCTGAGACCTCGTCATTTTAAAAAATGCTTTACCTGGACCAAAAGTGAAGTTGTTTGTTAAGTCTTGATGCTTGTTAGTTAAGGCAAACACAGGAGCAGACCCAAGGTAGCAGCATAACACACCACTGAACCAGCGAGGGTTCTTGTTCAGCTGCGCACACCCAACTCTTCCCCCAGGGCCCAACGCTCAGCTTAGCCAAAAAAATGCGCACACCCAGGCCAGAAAGCGTGAGTTAGCAGGAGGCAGTGGGCCGCAGGTTTCATTATTTAAGCAAGAAACCCCAGGCAGCAGAGTCCCGCCCCGCACGGTGATGCACACGCCCCGCACCCGCCACGTGCCAGGCAGTGGCATGGAGCCCCCGGGGTCCCTCTGTAGTTCGGGGTGACCCACAAGCCGGAGCTGGCTCCGTCCTCCTGGCCCCTTCTGTCGCCACCTCACTGCCTACTGCCACACTTCAGCTGTTTGCCACATCCCTCGCTTCAGCCAGGTCCCCTTGCGGGCCTGTGGCCTGTGGCCTGAACGTATGCCACGTGGCCACACACAGGCACACGGAGTGTGTGTCCTGATGGGCTTTTGGAATTCGCCTGCCGAGGCCAGCCCATATCTTCATAGGGCTTCAGCAGTTTCCTGAACCTTCTAGATCCTACTGCTTCTCAAAAGCTCTATCTTGTCTGCTTCTGCTTTTATTAGAACTGCAGTTCTGGGTACAGCCATGGATACATCTTCAGTAACAAAAGGATTTTTCCCAGCTAACCAAACCACATTTCCTCCCCCTCCCCACCCCCACAAAATGCATTCCTTTTAAGGAAAAGACATAGAGGGTGATTGTTTTCTCCTTTCTTTCAGGGATTCACAGAACTGCTGCCTATTGATTTGATTAAAATCTTCGATGAAAATGAACTGGAGGTTCGTACTGCACACAGCGTCTCTAAAGGAGATTTTCTTGAGGCATCTCTTACAGAAATGCTCTTTGAATACTCTCCACTCCCCAGTGTTATAGGGCTCTAAGGGACTCATCTGCACGCTCATGTTGGGGGGTGAAGGGCAGCTGTCCCATATAGCCCCCCCAGCCCAGGAGAGGCCCAGCAGAGGCCGGCTGAGCTGGGCAGCGGGAGGCCTGGCACTCTGGCTGAGGAGCTGTCCATGGCCCCCGGGACAGCCAGCTCCGAGGCAGGCTGGCCAAGGGCCTGTGCTCCTTCCTGCCCCTCCGTGGCCTCCAGTGGGGTCTTGGCCAGGAGGTGAGTTGTGAGCAGCTATTAGGGCCTGTGGACCTCATGTGACTTAGTTGAGTGAGGAAAATATCAAGAACAACAAGGTTCTAGCCAGAAGTAGCTTAAATATTAGATTGTTTCAGCTCCTTTTTGTGGACACAGGCAAGAACTAGCTATTAGAAAACAAAGGAATCACCCATCACTGTGTTGAGAGAAGCGAGGAGAGAAAGAAGCTGTGGCTGGGACTCTATGTCCCACTTGTCCAGCCACATCCAGTGACATGTGCGCCATAGCTCAGCTGTCCCTTTTGTCTTAACGCAGAAACGTGGTGGTAGATGATGGCACAGAAATCATACCGTGGGGGGTGGAGGGAGCTGGGCAGGGGGACCTCAGTGACGGCACAGGCCCACCGCCCCCCGCAGCCTTCCCTGTTAGTGGGGTGCGCCTGCAGGCCGCCTGGGGCTGGCTGGGCAAGGCACAGAGCCTGGCGGGGGAGGCCGGCTGCCATCGTCGGAGCTGACGTGGGAGATAAGTCCTCATGTTGTAAGGCGCTGATGCTTTCGTGGGTGGGAGATATTTTCCTATATGGAGACAAACGACCTCCCAGAGGGGAAGAGCTGAGTCACGAGCAGATGGAAGTGAAGCGTAAGAAAACCTGGAAGCACTGTGCTGAGATCAGAGAGGTGGGAAGGAGGGAGATAAGTTCTCATTTCCAGCGTGAGAGGCCGTGGCCTCTGCGTGCGTTCTCATAGGTCCGCACGTCACCTGCGCCATCTCCGAGGCCTGGGGCCGGTGGAATTCAGAGCACGACTCCTCTCCCTCTGCTTCTGTGAGCTGCCGGCTCACCTGCTTTGCACAGGAAAAGCTGCCGCAAGGGGAAGAGACCGCTTCTCCACGGGTGCGGGCGTCCTCGCTCCTGCGCCCGTTTACCTGGCCCCTCTCCTCCCTAGTTGCTGATGTGTGGCCTTGGGGACGTGGACGTGAATGACTGGAGGCAGCATTCTATTTACAAGAACGGCTACTGCCCGAACCACCCTGTCATCCAGTGGTTCTGGAAGGTAAGGCGGCCTGTGCGGCCCAGCCCGGCCCCTCCTCCTGACTCTGGCCTGGGCTGCCTTCCTCCATCTTCCTCCAGAACAGTTCCTGGAAATTGTCTGTGAGCACTTGGGTCCTGGGGGGCGAGAGGAGGTGCGTGGGCAGCCGCCTTGTGTCCTCTGACTCTAGCAGACAGCTCCCTGGACGGAGCAGCTGACCCTTAGCGAAGCACTGCCCTTCCTTGGCCCCCAGATGAAAACCGCTGTTGTTGCAGGGTCCCATTAAGTAGCACAACTGAAAAGTAGGTAACTGCACCCGGTATCGGTTCTTCAGGATGTAAATAAACTTCTCAGGGCTGACGCATGCTGGAGGCCAGCTTTTCCAAAATGCCAGTTTGGCTACAAAATAGCATTTCCCCACTTTTTTAGTGAATCCCAACACACATCTTGATTTTCATATCACGCGGTCTGTGATGACAAATGAAACTTTGGTTTGCTGTCTGCGGGCAGCATCCTCGTCCTACTCCAGGTAAAAGAGACAGGAAAGAAGAGGGAGCAGGCCCGAGGCTAAGCAGAAAGCTAGGGAAAGCTACAGGGAGAAAACTGTTTCGTGCAGAAATAAGCCCTGTAAATTATCGCCCATGTCTGAGGGTCCGTTTCTAACACTATTTCAAGCGTCCGCTGATGTGTAGAAATGAAAAGAAAAAAGACTTTAAATCCGAATCCGGTCTCATTCGGCTTTTTTTTTTTACTCTTTAAGTAAAACTGATTCAATTGTCAGTCCAATTATTTTAGGGGACCACCCGCGGTTGCCTCCCCTCCCTCCTCTCTCCTCCCTTCTCTCTTATAAGATATTCTCTTCAGAAAACTGTCTGCCATCCGAAATCCCCCCACCTCACCGGCTCCCTCTTGTCTGACGCTTCTCAAACACTGATGGTGATTGTGGGCCTGGGGGCTGCATGCCTCACGGGCAGAAACGAAGCTCAGTGCCATCACAGAGCTTGCTCTTGATGTCATTTCTTTTCACCTGCTGGCAGAAGCGGGAGACTGCTCGCTGAACGAGAGAGGCCAGCATTGTGGCCGGCCGGGCCTTTACCTGGGAGGCCGGGAGGCCTGTGCTCTGAGTGACCGCCCGCCTCTCTTCTAGGCTGTGCTGCTGATGGACGCCGAGAAGCGAATCCGACTCCTGCAGTTTGTCACGGGGACGTCCCGCGTACCTATGAACGGATTTGCCGAGCTCTACGGTGAGCGGGGCGCGGTGCAGGTCTTCCTCCTCCTGCGACACTCGGAGGGCCTCGCGCTGGCCCTGGGACGCAGTCCATGCCCACCTCCGCCCACAGCAGCCCCAGCAGGAGGGGCGGCCTGTGCTTGTCCCCGGCTGCCTGGAGCCTTACCTTTGGGGAGGGGGTCAGGGGGGTGATGGGGAGGTGGGATTGCTTTGTACAGAAACCAGAGGTTGGTCTTTTTCTTGCTTTTTTGGTTGTGCATAAATAATCGGTTTCTGTCGAATCATCTACTTGGTTCTAACCAAACGGTTTAAAGGACTCCTCACTGACAGGAGGTAGAATTCTTCAGTATTTACTATAGACCTCAAAATTGCCTTTTCTGCGGCATATTGAGGCTCACAATTCACCTTTTTGCCCCCCAGAATCATTATAAACATAAACATCCAGGGGTCGGCTGAGAGGCCGCAGCTGTCTGCCTTCCCTGTTGGGTCTGTGAAAGTGGGGCCCACCCCATCCTGAAGGTGCTGTCCCCACCTCAGGTCCCCCAACACCAAATGTTAACTGCCAAAGGGGGGGGGTCAAAGGGAGCGTCTCTGCAACTCTGGACCCAAACGCCTTCTGCTCTGAGCTCACACCTTTGCGGGGCCTAGGGCCTCACACACTGACCGTGTCTGTCCTTCTCTGTCCAGGTTCCAATGGTCCTCAGCTGTTTACAATAGAGCAATGGGGGAGTCCTGAAAAACTGCCCAGAGCTCACACATGGTGAGTCACAAAATCCCAGTCATCAACAAGCAGCATTTTAAACACTTCGCCGCATGTAACCCTGGGCTGGGCTCGCTAGGCAGCAACGTTCCGGCCGTGGCGCTGGCTATGTGCGTGTCAGGACACAGAGGGAAGATAAGCTGTGTAGTGATGCTGCTAAGCCCCAGTCCAAGACCTGAGCGGGCCTGTGCACCGCGGGGAATGCCCCCCTGCAAGCCCTGTCTTCCCTGAGGATTCCAGGAAGTTCTGCTGCCTGTTTGCCATACACAGATGCAACAGCTCCCCACCTTGAAATACTGGGTTTTCACTCATTGGTTGTTGAGAATTCGGGATAAAGTTCCCCATAGAAAACTTGTTTTTAAAAGCTTTCCGTAGCTGTTAGCAGTCCCTAAGTGTCTCTGCTTTGGTGCCAGCGTGATGGTGGAGAGGGTCAGAGGTCACACAGGGGGCATTGCCCAGGGGACGTAGAATGTGGTCATCTTCAGGAGGCCTCCTGGACCGGACGGGGTGAGGGGCAGGGTGTCTGTTGCCTCTGAAGAGTCCTGTAAGTCCCACACAGAGGTGGACGCAGGCACCAGGGCTTCACAGGGCCCTATCAGCTGTGGCTAGTCCAGGCCCTGGGCCCTCAGGAAGGCTCCCACCTCAGCTGTTCTCCCAGGCTCTGTGGGAAGCCAGGGCAGCAGGCCTCTGACAGTGGTGAGCCCCCTGCCTGCCTTTCTTATGATGCCTGAGTTGGCCACACTGAGCAGCCTGGTGTGGCTCACCTCCTTCACCTCCACATGCCAACTTAGAGAATTGTCTTAACCGTGTGTGCTTGGAGGGTGGTGGTGAGAAATACTGTCTGCAAAAGATTTTTTGCTTCTGTTTAATTTATATCAGTTTGGATAACTGGCTGAAATGGATATGGCTGTCCCCCCTGGAAAGCCAGTGACACTGGCCACTGCCGGCCATCCCTGCCTCTACGAGAAGGTGGTTTTGGTTGTTTGGAGCTTTTATTCCTTACAAGACTGAAGTCGTGTAGTTTTCTGGATTATAATCGTCTCCATTTGAAAGGCAGCTAGCCCCAGAACTGTGGGTTCTCTCAGCACTTGCTAGATCTAGTCTTCGGGGGGCCCACTAAATTAGGGGCCCAGCTGCCTCTGTGGTCAGGAACCACCTAGAAAGCTTAAATAAAAATCCTGATGCCATGGTCCCACCCTCTGGAGGTTTGGACTTTGTTGGTCCACTGTGTGGCCTGGGCACTGCGGCTTCTCCAAGCTTCCCATGGCTGGCCAGGGTTCAAGTCACTGCTCTTTCCTAGGCAGGGTGAAGGTCTGCCCAGGGGAGGAAGAGACCATCACAGTGAGGGCCCCCCACTAACTCCCCCCTGGTGGAGGGCAGTGGCAGTGCCGGTGACACAGCCCTGCCAGTGTGGGATGAGCCTGGCTCTGCTCCAGAAAAATTGTTCTGTAATGGAGAAGGCAGATCTTTGTCAGCACAACAGCTCCACAAACACACATGGCCTTGGATATGTTAAATTTGTCCATGTCTTACGAAGATATCAAATACACAATCTTCAAACAAAAACCCTGGCGTACCCGAAGAGCTAGGATTCAGTGAGCTAGTAGAAAGTAATTCATAAATTAGATAAATTAGGCTGATGGGCCTGGAGCTTATGTTTTATTAAATTGTCATTAGTCTTGACAGTGTATGTGGCCATCTTCGTGACAGACACAGGTCAGCAGTCCACCCTACAGGCTTCCCTCTGTGACCCGCTGCTTGCACCCGTGTGGGTGCCCACTGTGTGCCTGGCGCTGTGTCTGGACCCCTCAGCCCCTGCGAGCACTCTCAGTATTTCCCAAAGAGTAGGCAGGGGCAGAGAACAAGGCGGAGGTCCAGGGTCACCAGCAGGCCTGACACAGCCAGAACTTGACGTTGGTCCTGTACAAATGGGCTCATGGCTCCCAGCAGCCTTCATGAGTCTGGAGGCCTCACCATCACCACGTGACTGGAAACCCCCCAGCCAGCTTCCTGATACTCAGGGGCTGGTGACAAATGCCGCTTCCACTCTGAATGCCAGTTCCTGCCTGAGCAGATTAAGGTGACATAGGGCTGGGGTTCTGGAGCTGCGGGTTTGGCTCCAGCCTGCTGTGCTCCTGGGGTGAGGCCTCAGGCTGGCTGACCCCCTCTGCACTGGGGGGGCTCAGGGCCTGCTGGAGAACACGTGAGCACATCAGAAATAGGCACAGCCTTGCTTCTCTGGTGACACCTATGGCGAGCTGTTGGTACTAGAAGGATTTGAGCTCCACTGTCTCTCATCTCCCGTTCAGGTGGCCTTCTGGGCAGGCTTCTAACTGGGTGTCACAGACAATTAGTAACCTTCCCTCTCCCCCCAGGCCAGAAGCCTAGCAAACAAAGGCAGCCTCAGGGCTGGAGTGAGCTTCAGCATCTGGGCCTCCCTTGTGGCCTAAGGGTTAAGTC